AAAATTACTGCATACAATAAAAGTGCGGGGAAACATTGAGATGAATACAGCAGTTGCTCCATTAGTGGGAGCATGTTTGCTGTTAGTTGCTTTTTATTCTTTGGGGAAGACTCGTATCTGTTTATCACAAACTCATACAAACATAACTGCAAGCTGCTGCTCAAGGAAATGCAGTGTGTGACTGTAATCACTCCGCCAGTCCTGTCGTTGGGGCACAAGAGGTGTGCATTTGTGTTGTGTCACATCTTTGGTTGTGTTTCTGCCTCTGTCACAGCTGCTTTGCACTCATGGATTTTAACCTTTAGGAGATACCTCTGTTAGCTACATGCACGCTTCTTTATGCGGGGATAAATGAAGGTGTGAGCAGAAGTTTGTAATCAAGGTTTTGAATAAACCTTCATCACCACTTCATGCCTGCCATGACGCCGAGTGGGGTTTTGGTAACGATGCCATGATTGTGGTAGTTGAAGAAAGGCATTTTCCTGGTGATTTAATGTATTTACAGCATGCAGGTAAGTAAAAGAAGGTAACGAAAGCGAACATGCAAGAACACACGTTAGGCAATGTATGTAATCACAATGTCTTCTAACTGATGCCACTGAATTCTGTAGTTTGTTACATCTTATGTACTGTGAATGTTATTCAAACTGGTGCGAGTAGTGCTGGTTTTTCACCAAATATTCAGTAATGTTTCTCTTTATGCTGGTTTTTGCACTTGTATTTTCTCATGAGCTTCTTACACTGCACAGCACACCCCTCTGTGAGCTCTGCAATCTCCTCCATGTAACTCCCGCAGTTGCTATAGATGGAGGAATGGATCCAAATGTGATCTGGATTAAGATTTATGTGAAAAATTTGGCTGCAAGTTTTATTATCGCATTAATTAAATTACATTACGTCATTGAAGCAGTGAATATTTAACTGAGCATTACTCATAATTGCACCTTCCCCGCTCCTCCGTCACAAAATGACCACACACATAAAGAAGTGTAATGGATCTTTTTGGAAGAAAAATACAAGCAGTTGTATGAAAGAGACAAAAATATCACAGAGCAATGGGAGATGGGGTGGGATGTTCGTCCCTGTGGGTACCTTTGCAGTGTGCTTTGTCTTCTGGCAGAGTCCCATAGCAAATAGCTGAAATTCATTTGCCTCCATGCAAATGCTGCTGTTTCTGAAACTATTTGTCTGTGTGTCATGAGAAACTGTGCCATGGTGTTTTAAAGTTGTAGTTAAAAGTTATTTTCTATAATCAATTTACAGTGCTGTAAAACAGAACTTTTAAAGTAAATGTTACGTTCAGATAGATAGAATACAAACATGAAACATGGAAATGAGAGTGAAACACTTGTGAGTGTGCATACAGCCAGTGCTCTGATGGGAAAACCTTTAGTATTGCGGGTGTAGGCAATGATGAAATTGCAATGCTCACGTGCTGAGGTGCTCTCTCCAAAGCAGCAACCGGCCAATGGTGGTTGAGTAATTGCAGTCATTTGTCCTGCATGTGTGCTGCAAGAGAAACGTGCATTCATGGAAAGGATCCTCATAAAGTTAATGAGAATCTTAGTGGCAGTGAGGCAGTCTGTCGTCAAAAGGTGTTTGCAATTACTAGTGGAACTGCTTTCTCCATTGAGATGACTTAATTAAAAAACATTTGTATTCAATATTTGCATCTTGTACCTGAGCGTCAGAAATGCAAACTGGACTAATAATAATTAAGGCACAATGGTGAAAGTTTCCAATGCGGCAAGCGAGACCAGATTTAAACATTTTCAGTGACTTAGAAGTTATTTAATGAGATACTGAGTGTAGCTGATCTGACTTCAGCACGTTACGGCTTTGTTCAAAAAATGCTTTTGTCTGGGTTTGGAAAATTACAGTCAGCTCTTGCATGATATTTCCAAAGAGAATTACGGTGGAGTTAGAGGACCAGAGGGGTTAAAGACATCGTTAGCTAAGATTTTAATGGAGAGCATAATATCAAACAGAACCCTTTGGGGAAATGAGTGGAAAATCTTCGTGCTTGCAGGTGACTTCATTATCCTTCACTGCCTTTGTGTGTTGTGCCACTGAAGCACTTACTGCTTTGTGAATGGCTCCCAGTCTTCCAGATGCTCTTGCGTACTGAAGAGATGCTACTGAAAGATAAAATATTTTCATCATCACGTTCGGTTTTATAGCAATAATATTTCAAAGTAAATGAATACTATAGGAACAAAAATGGAGTAAGAAGTAGGCTGGGAATTGGAGAGAATCAATCAAGAGTTCTATTACTGGCTTAGAAGGGGGGGGTCACAGTATAGTGTATAAAAAGCCACTTTCTGTTTAATCATGTGCACTCAGTCTTGACTAATCATAGTTATACTGATAAGTATTGTTTCAGATTTAACCACTCCGTGCTTTAGTTTTGAACTACATCGTCGTGGTTTGCACCTTGTCTTCCACAAATTTTCCACTTTTCCACCAAAGAGGCCCAGATGTATTCTAACAACTCTTCCCTGCAGAACATTAATTTCTCTAAAGCACAGAAGCTCCTCCAATGCTTGGTCTTCCTTTGTGACCCTAATGTTCATTCCTTGAGTTGAGCTGAAAGATGGAGGAATGCAGGAGGTCAGTTGTGGAGGCTGTTTGCCTAAAGAAAATAATAAAATACATGATTTCTGAAGCGTAAGAGCCAAGTATTTGTTTATCTACATGATTTTTCATTTCAATAGCATATGCTTAGCAGAAAAGGCCTTCTACTGAAGGATATTTGCATTTTTGTCAAATGATTTTTTTTTAAAGTATTTTAGGAAACAAAACATGAAGTTTTCTCATAATAAATATGCCCAGTGTTCTCTATCCAACCCTATCACATCATTTTTCTCTAATTGAAATGTCAATGCAAATCTTCACTGCTTAATTGTAGCATCCTTAATGATTGGCTTTACTTCTGATATTGCATACAGAGATAAAATGGTCAATAGCAGCGGTCCCATCAGTAGAGACTGTGATCATTTTTGGATTAGGATCAACTCTGAGTACTTCAGAGGGCCTCTAAGTAGTAGAGTAGTTCTAGTTCGTACTAAATTCTTTCATTATTTGTATCCTTTTATTTCTTTCTGTTTTTTTATTTATCACCACCATAATGTAGTGCTGTGTTCAGAGCATATTGGTCTACCAGGATTGAGCAAGAAGTTCTGCAGCAGCAGTGTCATGTCCATGGAAACAAAGGCAGGGTTGGATTTATTGCATTTGAAGTTTATCCATAACAGGACAGCTGTGTTTTGTGCCTTTTGGGAGGGGTCAGTTTTACAGACATGGCCAGTGGGCATGGTGGGGATGGGTTGGGGCTGGGGGGTCTTAGAGCTCTTTTCCAACCTGAATGGTTCTGTGATTCTATGATCCTGGCCCAGGCTGACCTCCAGATAATGCCAGGAAGTGCTGGCAGAGCCAAAGCTGGGTGAGGGACACTGGCAGGAGGGAAGGCTGATGGCAGCAGCACACTGTGGCACGTTGCACCCCTGCACAGCACTTGCCCTGTCCCACATGCCTTGTTTAGTGCAGCACTGGAGGAATATGAGCATTATTATTCCAGTTTTTCAAAATGATTACAATCTTTATGAAATATTTATAATGCTGTTTGGTTTAAATTTAATAACCTCTTTTATAAAGTATTGACTGTGCTATTCAAAATCACTTACTAACATCAAGTCACTCATCATAAACCATGGAGATCAATATATTCAAATGAAGATGCTATTTAAACTCAAGTGTCGTCGTAATTTTGAATACAACTTCCCAGCCTTGGCTTTGCACACTGTAGATTCTGACACTGTAGAGCGTGTGAAGTGGCAGTAGTCTGCATCTAGCAGGGATATGAGCAGTGCTGTGTGCCATATGAGAGCAGAAGAACCTTCCCAGTAAGAGAATCACAATCCCTTCCATCCTTCAGCTGGTGTTACAGAGTTGCTCAGCAGTTCTCTTCCCGTTTTGAAATTATCTTTGCTGTTTTGGGATTACTCCTTTGGGTCGATGCCTGTGCTGTGTTCTGAGCATTGCTTTTTAAACATCTGTGTGTTCTTAGAAGTTTGCCTGTATTCATACTGATGGATTCTAAGTGCTTATTGCAGTTGGTGAGCATGGATGCCACGTGTGATTCTCACGTGTGATTGAGAGAAGCATTTTTTCCTCACAGCTTAGATTTGGAGATAAACCAGGGAGATTTATCCCACTCACTTCCTTAAATCAAGAATCTCACCCAGTCGTTTTTCACTTTTATTTCACTGTTTGAGTTACCTGTGCCCAAGCAACAAAAGTGCCCTTTTAGCCGTTACCTCCATGGTGATCATTGCAGACATAAATCCAGATGATTCCCCATTTAAAGCCCTTTACTGCATAATGCATGTTTGAAATTAACTTTCTGTTTGCTTTCATATGCTGCCTTCCTATCCCACTCTCTCTGATAATGCTGGGCAGGAGGATGAGCTGCTGGGGCTGGCATTGCATTGCACCTCTCCAGCCCAGCTGTGCCCTGCAGCCCAGGGGCTCGGGTCTCAAACTGATCCCTGAGTTTGAAACCTGTGTGCTGCTTTCCATCCCTTTCCAACACCTGGTCAATGCTCTTCCAGCTTTGGGGAGGTAACAGCCACCCTTTCCATTTCTGCTGCAAAAAGCTTTTTAGAAGCTCATAAAGAAACCAATCATAAATTTGTTAGCTAATTTAGTTATCACAATTGATATAGTTTTCAGTTGCTTGCAAATGAGTCATTTTCCTTGAGAAACCATGCAGAAGTGTACCAAGATTTTATTGTGATATTGGTGTAATTGTTGCTAGTTTTCTGGTTCCGGAACTTTAGCTGATGTCCAAACGAAGTGCGTTGTTCTCATTTGCAGTTTCCATCTGGTCTAACTCTTTTTACAACAGCAGTATCACTTGAGCCTTAGTCTTATCTAAGGAAAAGGTAACCAACTGTTTCCAAGGAAAAATTCCACCTTAGATATTTCCTTCTCTGTTGCAGGTCGATGCACAAGCTGACTCAGCTGGAGAGACTTGATCTGGGCAATAATGAGTTTTCTGAACTGGTAAGAGGTGCCCCTTTTCCACAGACACCTGTGGCATTTTGTGCTCTGGGCTTGGCCATCGGACTTGAAAGTCATGAAGGCATTGTGGCCACGTGCAGCAATAGGAGCAGCCTGCTGCCTTTGGGAAAGTGTCTGTCTAATAAGAGGAATTGAGAAGAAAATTAAGGTTGAGGGGAGGAATTATGATCATCTATATTAACTTGAGTGAACACCGGAGGAAAAGAGAGTCGTTAATCATCACAGGAACAAATAGCACAAAATGACCACTAATTAACTTAACCTGGAAATTAGTAGTTATTTTAACCATCAAAGAAGAAAAAGAAAATTCAATAGAATTAGCTCAGGCAAAATCAATTACCTTCCAATTATTGACTAATTGTTTTTTAATAGAAACACGTTATGTGACTGCACATAGAATGGAGGCACTGAGCTGTGGGTGGGTGGGTTCCTTCCTGCCCAATGCACCATGTGGAAGACAACTTCTTATGGGAGTTGCAATATTCCAAGGAATTTAGGTTACAGGAGATATTTAGATGTCTCTCTTCAGGTGCTGAGATGCTGAACTGACACATTTGATGGAAGTGTCCATAACATGATCTGTTCTTTTCCTCAGCCCGAGGTTCTCGAACAAATACAGAATCTGAAGGAATTGTGGATGGACAATAATTCTCTGCAAATACTACCTGGGGTATGAACACTTACTTTATGTAATCTAATCTATGGCACTAATGATGAACAGTTCACCGTGCAGCAAATGACTGCATGTGCATTTCCTGAATAGGTGCATATTTTCAGTTAATTCTCATATCATTACCAGGAAATAAAAGGCTCAAAATAGCCATGCATATGAAGACCTTCCAAATGTTGTGCTGTTATGTGATAGTAATTAAATTGGAGTGTACCTGTTTTATCTGAGCCTTGTGCAATTTGCATTGCAAGGGAAGTTGTTTTCCACTGTCTTCTCAGACACCGTTGGTACATTTCAGTGTAAGGAAAGCAAGAGCATCAATTTTGTTGATTTTCTTGGTGAAATGTCATGTCTAGAACAAAGTGACCATCCTGTGATAATGGACCAAGAAGCAGATTGCTTCTGTTGGCTTCAGACTCCGCATGCCAACAGATGTTCAAAGAAGTCTGAGAATTTTTTCTCTAGCTGCTCCCTGATGTTATAGCTGTTGGGATTAACCTCTCATAACTGAACTATGAATATCTGAAACCTGATTTTAGACTTCACAAAATGTAGGCAGTCGATATGACACAGAAATGCACTGCTGCCATATGAGACCCCAGTGCTGCTGTGGGTGGGTGAGCTGAGTTGTGTCCCTGGGATCCAGGTCCGACCAAAGAAAGTAATAAAGCAATGTGGCACTGAGAACTCAAATTCCCTCCAGATTTAATGAATCCAGAGCACCCGAATCAGTTTGGAGTTCATTGTTTATTTTGGTGCAGGATTGTAGGCTGGTTTAATGGCAATGGGCAGCATTTTAATAGGGCTTAGAATTATCACCTGGGCTCACAGAGCAACTGGTTTTCAGCTCTGCCCCGTGCCTTTCCTTCTGCAGCTTTCTGAAGAAATCCCAATACTGATTCAGTGAGACAGATAGAAAAGCATGCTGTGATAACCAGGAGAAGTCTGTATTGCAGTTGTTGGTCTTTAAACTTGGAAATTGGCATGCCATGTCTATCTGTTGAAGTAACGCTCTGTAACGTGCTATTAAGTCTATAGGGAAGTTAAAACAGCTCGTGTACCTGGATATGTCAAAAAACAGGATAGAAACTGTTGATTTGGACATATCGGGATGTGAAGGACTTGAAGACCTCCTGTTGTCATCAAATATGTTGCAGCAACTGCCAGACTCCATAGGTGAGAAAAGCTCCTGTTTTTACACTTTGTGATAAAGCTGGAACAAGAAATGCCATTAAACTCTAAAGGAATTAATTGTGCACTCATACATCTGGTACTGGGGCAGTCCATAAAGACTGCTTTGAACGTCAGAAAACAAAAAAATAATCCATAGTTAGGGGCTGTAGGTTATTCTGAGTTGTATTTTTCAAGAAACTAAATAAAGGTACTATCGATCTGGTCTGAATTAGGATGGGAATATAAAAGTGGTTATATTAACAGTATTAAACTCCTGAAGAAAACTAGTTACAGTAGTGCAATTCCAGTGACGGCATCAAAAGAAGAAATAGTTCAACCTATTCCTTTTCTGTTTCGACTATACTGCACCTATAGAATTCCTGAATTATTCGGAACGCAGGATTTCTGGAAGGTGTCTGTAGGTACGTGGCTCTGGACATCCCTCAGGTTTGCTTCAGGAACACTGTGGGTCCCTGCTCTCTTCTGTTGCTTCCAGCAGATGAGCCCCCAGATACACAGCATGGTGGCACTGTGGGCCCTCCCCTGTTTCAATTATCAAAGTCAAGCCTGCAGACTGTATAGCTGGCCAACAAAACTCTACTACATGAACGTTACTGAGCTGCTGTTACAGCTGTTTCCCATTCTGCTCTGATGCGATATGTCACCATCAGCCTGGCAGTTGATTCTCGATGCAGTTTTCTGATGTGCATATGCAGATTGATTTTTCAAGGTTACATAACTCTGGTACAGAAGGATGCTGACATTGTGAATTGTGCACTCAGTGCTCATTTCCAAATTCCTATTACTGAATCACAATAGGTGTAACTGAAGCAAAGCAGAAAGAGTCATTTCAGTACTGCATTTTCAGGTGACAGCTTGCTGCAGTTCTGTTTGGTAGAAATTTTTCCTCTTAAAAGACAGTGCTGTTGAAGCCTGGGTGTTTGTTGGAACATGTTGGCTTTTCAACAGAAATGTACTATGATGGAAGTGAGTAATGCTTCTGCTATCCCTTTGAAGTGTACTTTTCATCTGCTTCAGCTTTCATACTGTGGTGCATTCCACTTAATAATTAGCTGTATGTAAACAGTTAATTTATACTATAACCAATGCTGATTACAAATGTTTGTAAAGCTATTTTGGAGTTTCCAGAACTCCTTCAGAGCAAAAGCAGACTTTGAAATGTCAGCAACTTCCAGAAGGTGGGAATCTTATTTTCTGACTGTATCAAGCTCAGTTTCAGCCACTGTGATGCAATGATTTTCCTATCCTTTCTGTCTTTACCATTGTATCGATCTCCCTGTTTCACAGTGCAAAGCAGAAGTGTCATTCCCTGGATAAACGTTACCTAGTAATGCATCTGCTGACACTTCAATATCTAGCAGTTCTCTTAACAAAAAGAATTAGCTGCATGCACAAGTGCCTTCAGGACTGATTCTGGTTGTCTGTTCCTACATATTGTGAAGCACTCACAGTGCAGCATTTACTTCAGATAGTTTTGCTGGGGACCTTCTGGGACCTGAGCACCTTTTAATCAGGCCACAGGGTACTATTCCTTTTTATTCCTCTCCACGTTTTTCAGCACTTCAGAATGCACTTAATATTGTACTTGTTGCATTTTGGCTCAACGTTTAATCTGCGCTGCATTGTAATGGGGAATATTTTCAATGGGGCAGGAATGTGTTTGTTTATTGTTTAACTGAGAATACTGGAGATTGCAGAAAGTTAAGATGAACGTGGAATACTTTTCTTCCCTCCTTCCTTTCCTGTTCTGCAGGGCTGCTGAAAAGGCTCACCACGTTAAAAGTGGATGACAATCAGCTCACAATTTTGCCCAACGCGATTGGAAAGTGAGTATCAAGGGAAATCTTTTCCCTTCAACTTGCTTTTTTTCTGACATCAAAAGTAAGACAAAGAAGATGCCCTGAATTACAAAATCATCCCCAAACGTGCCCCTGGCACACAGCTCGTCACGCCGACACGTGGAGCAGCTTCTCTGGACTTACAGTGGCGTAAGCGATGGGAAGGTGAAATGTACCATGTTGTTCAAGACAAAGGATGAAGCGGTGTTTTTGGTGTGAATCACTTGCAGTTTGGATGATTAGAGCAACAAAAGTAGAAGAAAGATAAGAACTGGGGGGATGGCAGTTTCCATAGCAACAGCCGGGACTGATGTTGGAAGGAAGATGGCTGTATACCACATACATATTAAGGTGCCTTAAAATATTGCAGGAGCATAAATGAAAAAGCCATGCCAATTTTGTGGGTGTATGCATAAAAACAGTGAAAATACCATAAAAGCACTGATTTGCTGAAGTTTGATCAGATACTGCATGATCTTTGGTGCAAAATACCACGTGGTGCTGCTGCGCACAGAGCTTTCCTCTGCTGCCTTGGTGAGTTGCCTGCCTGAAAGCCACAGCTTGCTGTAAAACTCAAAGCAGGTCCAGGCCTTTCCCCAAAGCAATACAAAGAACCAGCTGCCTTGCTTTGGAGTGTGATTATTCTGCCATTCCTGGAAGAAGGTCTTTGATTCGATTTATAGCTTCGCATGGCACACATCCCTTCCAGCAGAGAATTGCACAGTGAGATCTCCAGAGTAGAAATAATCTCTAACCTCCATAGCCAGCGCTGTCCCACTCCTGAGCCCATTCTATAGTAATAGTCTCAGTGATAATTTTGTTGTTTACATGGCATCAGAGAAAATAGTGGACAGTGAAAACTGCAGCAACTGAAACCCGAGGTTTGGCTTCCTGCAATGCACTTCTTGTAGTGCTTTATATTGATGTGATATTAATGGGGTGCATTAAAAGTTGGCTGCATGGGTGATAAAATGGAAATCTGGTTGTGCAGCAATCGCTTCTGACAGTGAGAGCTGACGAGGCTCAAAGCTGTGTTGGACACTGCAGGAAAGTTGATGTTGTGTCCAACGTCACCTTTAGCAATTCTGGGAGTCATTCTTTAAAAGCTGTCATGTCAGTATTTTCTTACGGATTGCATTGTTCAGGTTGAAGGGAATTCCATCTTTTTTTTTCTTGCTTGGTATCTGTTCAGTACTATTTGTTGAGGATCCACAGTTGTGTTGTAAGAGATGTGTGCTGCTGCTCAGAAAGGTGTGACTGCAGAACAGCAGGTTGATCACCCAATATTACCACGTTATTTTTAAATGTAGCACTTTCCCTCACTTAATGAGGACGGTGTCTCCCACATCAAAATGAACTTCCTTTCTCTGACTCATCCACTTGGATAGTTTCCTACTGGGCCTCTTTCTCCATAATGATAGGCACGGTACCCACTGCAGAGTGTATTATTCTCACACAAAGATTAGCAATGTGGAGGAGGGAATTCTCCCTCCAGAGACCAATTTCCTGATGAGCCACGGAGCATTTCAGCGCTGCCTGAGTCAGTGTTGTTAGCAGTGAACTGCCACCCTCATTTTTGGCAGGCGTGTTTGGAGCACAAGCCTGCAAATGGCATTTGGAGTTGGACCTGCAAGATGCTATGCTCAGCAGACTCAGCTTAGTAAAACACTTAAGCATATATTTATCTTTCCCTTGTTTGATAGCATCAGAGGATTTACATAAAGGGCTTTAGGAATTGGACCCGGGGCAGGAGCCTGTATCCACAGGACCTGATTGAGCGCCCCTGCTTCTGCTTTCTGGGTATAAAGGTTGCAGCCCATGCAACTGATTTTTGTCTGTTCTTCTAAATTCAGATCATTCTTCTATAGATTTCAAGCCCAAGAAGACATTAAAGTTAATACATTACAGCTAATGAAATTTCAGATAAATCAGCATGATTGGAATTATAGCAGTTATTCTCAACACAGCGTTCATCCACAAGCCGTGGTGAATGGTAAATCACTTTCTGAACTAAATGCTTTGCAATGGTGGTTACAGATACAGCACACTTTCATGAGGACTTTGTTGCTTTTGTTGTGGCCATCTTCATTTGTTTACTGATGAAGTCACCAGGAAGAACAGAAGCTGAGAACATCCATGCCAGACAATATCTTTCAAATAAAGTCAAGTCACTCTTGACCATTACAGTTCAGTGGATGAGAGCTTCCAGTTTCCATTAGAAGCAGTTGTCCAACATTAGTTTTTCAATTCTTGAGCTTTTCTGGTTCCGTTATCATCGCATGCATCTTTAATTGAACAAGCTTTCGAGTTGGACTTCCCTCTTTCATGCACATATTTGGTATGAGCACCTGAGAGAAAAGCCACAGTACGCATGGAGCAAAAAAGGGCAGTAGAAGTGGGGAATGGTGGTATTCTCCATGAGTCCCAAAACTTTTATTCCATGGTTTGAATGAGCAGCACAATTAATGTTGTTACTGTAAACTTCTTGGGAAATCTGTAATAAATCCATCGTCGCGGCACAATGGCTGCAGAATTGTGATGATTCGAAACTTCCAAAGGTTTTAGATGGCAAATTTTTGTTACTTAATTCCCACACAGCATCTAACAAGTGCGTTTACAATTTCAGTTTATCTTTATTAGAAGAATTTGACTGCAGTTGCAATGAGTTGGAGTCGTTACCTTCTACCATCGGTTACCTTCACAACCTGAGGACGTTGGCTGTGGATGAGAATTTCCTTCCTGAGCTGCCCAGAGAAGTGAGAAGCTGATTCTGTTTCCAAATTACGTCAGAGTGTTTTGTGATAGGCCTCAGATTTCATCCCTGTTAAGGCCGTAAAAGCAACTAATTTACTGCAAAAGCAGTAAAGTGGTAAAAATCAAATTAACGATTTGATTTTTATGCAAAAGCATATTGATTTTTATTGCTGGGAAGCAGCAGTGCAGGTAGCAAAGTGCATTTCCCTGATGTTTCTGTCAAAAGACAGTGTTTTCTGACTCTGTTTTGTATTCTTTGTCATTTATATGGGGAAAAAAAAAAAGATAATTTGGCCACCTTCTGATGTGGAGTGAATGATGATAATGTTTTTCAGAGTGAGTGTTATTATATCTTTGCTTTTTTTTTTTTCTCATTCTCACAGATTGGAAGTTGCAAAAACGTAACGGTGATGTCCCTGCGCTCCAACAAACTGGAATTTCTTCCAGATGAAATAGGTCAGATGCAGAAGCTGAGAGTGTTAAACCTGAGTGATAACAGGTATGGTTCAGATCGTGTTCCTAACTCGCGTTGTGAGAATATGTTTTAAAAAAATAGCTATTTCTTTTTAGGCATTTGTTAAATTATATTTCTATAATATATGTAGATGCATCCAAAGCGTATAAAATTGTATTTATAAATACTTGAAATTTTTAAACTATAGGGAAAAATATCCTGATTAATCTTCATGGTTTGGTTTTAATTCTACTGGCATCCAAAGCAAAGTTGGAACGGGACAAGGATCTGACTCTCAGTGCTCTATCAGAGATGAAATGCTGCTTGTTTACTTTGTCTGCTGCTGTTTCCACGTGAAAGTGAGATATTTGGCTTTAAAACTGGATGCAGTTTTATAATTCAGTGTTGTGCGCCCTGATAAGGAAATTGTGACAAGCTGCTGTATGAGATCATTACATGCCAGCATGTGAAATACCACCCCATCTCCACCGAAATCAAAAGAAAATGTTCTGCTCCCTTCAGGGGGGCGAAGGTCCTGCCAAAAACCAACAGAACCCCACCAGGTTCTGTTCTCATGCACATGGCTGTTCTGAGAAATGCAGTGCTTACTGTGAGGCTTTCTTGGTCTGCATCCTGTGCTCCGACTGCCATCAGAAATGACTTTTCCATGGAATTTCCAGATCAACGTGCTCCAAGAACGTGTTCATAGTGTGTGAACACTCTTCTGTTTCAACTACTTATCACTCGTATCCAGTAAATATCTGGGGAAGCACTTTGTGTACCTGGTCCAATTTACTGTCAGCAGTCTTGTGAAATTGAGGCTGACCAGAAAGTATAAAATCAAGTAATGTTGAAACCCTTGTAATGCATCTATTCATAATGGTTCACTTAATTCCATTAGATCATTTTCCTCGCTGCAATTGTGTATCATAAAATACATTATGTACAGACTGGTATGTAAAGCTAAACTGAACTCCAGGTTTGTGGAAACCGCCTGAGTCCCAGAATCAGATCTTAGATCTTGACCTTGGGTTTCAGGTCCCAGTGCTTTCCAGGGACGTGGGTGCTCTGTCCCATCAGCACACCGCAGTGCTGGGGGTTTGTGCTCCTACCTGTGCTCCTGCAGCCTGAAGCTGTGTTTCAGGCACATTTTGAGTTCTTTCTTTTCCAGCATTCTCCCCAGCACAGCAGTCAGCTTCCCCACACTGCTCTGCATCCACCTGCCCTGTCCTGTCCTCGCTCAGTTTTGTCCAGACAGCTGGGGGTCCTGAATGCATAGGGATGCAGGTGAAAGCAGCCTGTCAGACACGTGTTGAGTTTTCAGATGGGTGCTTCCAGTGGCAGCCCCACCTTAATGCACACAGCCAGCTGGAGGGGCAGCAGGGCTGTCAGAGCACCTCAGTGTGCTTTGGAGATGCCAGGGAGCTGCAGCTGTCGTACCTCCCCTGGCACATCAAACCACTCTAAGCTGGATCGCTTGGACCTGTTATTAGGCCATGAATGTGCGTTGAGGAAGAAGAAAACTACTCTCTCTTTTTTTTTTTTCTTTTTTTTCTTTTCTTTTCTTTTCTTTCTTCGCTTCTTTCTTTCTTTCTTTTTGCTGAGTCAGCTGCAGATTTCAGCCTATGACTACATCTGTAATTACTGCTTTCTGAGCCCTGTTACTGGGGTGACAGGGAGGGGGTGGCTTGCTGCTGGGAGAAGGCAGCAGAGGTGTAGGAGTATGCCAGGTCTCCTGAGCAAGCTGACCTGACAGCTGGCTGCCATGAAAGCAGCACTCCTGCCCAGCTGCCTTTTTCTCTGGCTGCCCAGAGATAACAAAGCAGTGGGATTTCCATTGTGGAGTAAACACTGAGACTGGCATCTCGGGGTGTTCCTTAGGCTGGGGCGTGGAGATCACTGTCCTTCCCGCTCCCCTTTCTTGCTGGCTAATAGCCCTACATCTCCTTGTGCTTTCTCAGGGCTACTCAGAGAAGTGGCTGGGATGGCCTGACTCCCTAAAACTTCTAGGAGTGATCTATCTTGTTGTTGTGGTCACATTCTAACTTTCCCCACATATTCAGTTTGCTCCCAGTGGCGTCTAGCAAACACCAAAGGCAGTTGAAGGTACACGGTGGCTGTGCACCAAGGCAGGAAGGAGGGGAGGGCAGGAGAAGGCAGCCTTTCCTCACTGGGGTGGGAAGCTGTTCTCTCAACTCAACCTGAAAAGCTGTGCAGTGAGTTGCAGCCATCAGAAAGCTAGCTGGAGAGTGGTCTGAACTAGAAGAGGTAGGAACAGTTGAATTATCTCACAGAGATTCCCTTCTCCTGAGGGGCCTGGGGGAATTTTTTCCTGCTTTGTTGGCATCAGTTCCACCTGAGGTTGGTTGTTGCTGACACACTGTGACCATGCTGATTTCTTTTTTTTTGTGGAACTTCCTACCTTAGTGAAACGGATGTTCCAAAGTTTCAGCGCCGAAGAGTTTGCACAGAGCTCAGATGCAGTCTTAATGCCGGATCCTTATTTATTCATTTGGTCTTCTCCATTTTCATATGTATGTTAGCAGTAAGGCAATATCCGTTTCTTCTTTGAATGAGTCCACGTATACATGCTAATAAGGACTGTACTCGGGCTCTGCTTGTGGTTAGGAACTTTTCCAGGTTATCATAATACTTTTGCCCTTCTGCTCTTCCTTCTTCAGATATGACAGAGAAGGTAGAGCACATCAGCTCTTTCCCTTTGGGCCATTGGAAGAAGATACACAGATGTGCAGGCAGAGCAGAAAGACAATTCTAGATCCAAGGTGCCTCTGCACTTGCTTTGTACTATGGCGTGGAGCTCCTGGGTCAGGGGTCAGGCTTCTCCCTGGCAGCCTGTTCTGAGACCTGCTGAGCCCTGGACTCTGCAGGCTCTGCTGCTAAGGAAGACCCATTCACACTACATACTGCTCTGACAGAATCTTTTGCATGAGACCTCCAATTTTTACCCAAACCTTCTGAGGATTGGCAGTCACTCCTTGCACTAACAACAAATGGGGATGGACTGTGCATATGATCATAGATTTCCTTTAGAATTTGTCTGTCCATTCTGTGTGACTTTTTTGCTCCTGACTCTGGAGAGGATTTCATGTCCGTCCTGTTAGGCTGCTCGTGCAGCTTTGCATGTTAATTTCAGAGGGAGCAGACTCTGCTGCTGTGACTGTCAGCCCGTGCTGGATGTTTGAGGATTGTCATGGATATATAGTTTTACAAAGGGGTTGCAGTCTTTCACTGGGGATCTGCCCACTGCAGGTTCCTCCTAGTGAATAACTTAGATCAGAGCCATCTCCTTCTATTTTGTCACATGCCAAATTTTACCTACAGTGTCTACAGCAGTGGCTGAACTGGCATGTCCAGTAGCCCCTTAGGTCATTGTCTTTATCCCAGTGAGTTTCTCTGCTGGTAGCTGGGCTACTTGAGTGTTTCTTGTGAGATGCCATTTTTCCACAAAAAGTGTTCTATCTGGATACGTTCTTCATGACGTGGGGAGTGCAGTCTGGCTCCAGGCACGCAGAGTGCAGAGGTACTGGTGGCTTTGAACTTGCCAAAGTGCTTGGAACGTTGTCAGTCTGCTCTCCAAATGGTCGTGCATACAAGGTATGATGGACAACTTAGCTGTGAAGTAGCACGTGATGAGGAAAAGCCCCATCCTTTGCACTGCCTGGAGCTCGTCTGCTTATGAATATAAAATACCTACGTTTTTCATGTGCAGGATTTTCCATTAAGTTCTCATTGGATATCTTTCAGAAAAGAGGCAAACATGACAAACAATACACTCAGGCTAAAATGAATCTTAATTTTTTTGTGAGCTGACATATTTTGCTCGAAGGTGGGTCAGTGTTTGGAGTCCCTCCCTAGCCTTTTCAATACTACGGTTTCAGCTACTACAGGTTTTCACTCTTGTTTTGTCTTCTGAAGGCCCTCAGTGATTTAAGATGGACCTTGTTCATTTGAATTGACCAGAAGCTACCTTTTAGTTTCAGGATTTTCTACAGGTATTCATATCATAACTCAACTTCAACCAGATAATTACACTCCAGCTTTTCTTTCCCATGCCTTACGCACTAAGACTGTATCTATCCTTCTCATCTCTGTAGCTGGGAGCCCTCTGTCCTTTTATCTTTACAGGTCCAAACCTTTTCATCCCTTTCACAGACTCTTCATCCCCAGGAAACGCAGCATTTTGTTGTTACTACGTAATAAAAGGCAGTGGTGGACTGAACCCCAACTTGCCATCACATTGCTAAGTGGAGTCTAATGAGGGTTAGTGTGCATCTGACCGGAGCATAGGTGGCTTCACACACCTTCCTGTGCATTCAGGAGAGTTTTGATTCCAGTTACCTGCAGTGCAACTACCTGGGGATTCATCCTTGCCTTTGCCAGGCATCTCTGGTGCTTCAAGAGCCAATGCACATCTGATAATGTAGTTGTGCAGTTACTGATGCATGAAAGATGCAGAGACTTCCACCGTGTAGCGAGTCCCTGGGGGGAGCTGCTTGGATTCGCTCACTGCTAAGAGTGCACGTGGGATTCGTTCAAAGAAAAAAAGATGTCTTACCAGTAACCGGTGTTCTTCACAGTGTGTAGTCCACAGATACATTTGTCTTCCATCTGCTTCTCCTCTCTCCTCAGAGTCCTTCCAGGTCTGAGTCCTGTGATTGAGAGGTAGAATTGTTAGAATGTACATTTGGGCTACACTTCTCAAAGAGCATCGGTTACTGGTAAGTAACCTTTCTTCTAGTTTTAGATTGTTCTTACAGAAGAGCTTAACCAGTCATCACCTTTCTGTATTTGCATTGCTTGTGATTCTGTCCCGGGGTCACAGCTTGACTGCTACACTGAGTATCAGGAACAGAAGTTGGATGAAACAAGCATAAGATCGCGTTGCGTTCCAAAATGTAGGACTGTTCCTTGGTGTATCTTTTCCTGTTCAGTTATTTGTACAGCATTGCTTATTGACAAAGAGGTAATTGCTTCTGGCCATTAACATCCTCCAGTGTTTTTGTGAGCAGTAAATGAAAGAGTTAATATGAATTATGTTCTTTTGAACTTTCACGCTCTGAAAACCCTGTTATCATCCATTTGCTGAGCATGACCATGGAGAGCTGTCCCTGGCTGGGCTACTCTGAATTACCCCGGTGTCTTCATTCCAGCACATCATAACGCACTGATACAGCACTTCCTTGAGGCTGGGGGTCACAGGGTGCCAATAGCTTGGTGCTCAGGGATGTCCCTTTAAAAAGTGCCATTTTGCTTTAGTTTGTTTTCACTCACCTCGAGGACGTCAAAGGAAAAATTTTCTTTTCTTATAAGAAAACGTTACCTTTGTGAAAATTAAACCGTGTGAGAAGGACGCGTGCATCTCGTGCTGTAGTGGCTGCTGGAGGTCAGAGGTGTTTTGCTGAAAAATCAGTTGGTGCTTCAGAGCTCAACTTATGAGAAATATTTCTGCTAATAACCTTTAAGCTTTAGCATGGTTTCATATGTACTTCAACCTAATACAAATACAGAAAATATCTGTAACACTGAGAGATTATTTTATGATCACATCTAGCTCTTCGTACAACTCAGTTTAAAAGATTCCAAACTGAAGTTAATAGTGATTTAAAAATGGCAGAGAAATGAAACTTGTTTGTGGAAGAAAGTGTGTGCAGTGGAGTGTTAGACCCAGTGTCTGTGTTCCAGAGGGCTGGAGGGGTCCCTGCCTGCAGCCCCTGGGTGCCCCCAGGCTGCCCCCAGCCCAGGCTGCCCCCAGCCCAGGCTGCTGCACGGTGGTTGCTCTGCCCCAGGCCAGCAGCAGCTTCCAGCAGGGCGTTGTTTGCTCCGTAATAAGAAAAGGTTCTTTTGGTACAGTGTAATTTGCCCCTTACTTGTAAGTTAATTAATTTGACCATCTTCTCAATGAATTATCTATGCACCCATTAAAGTTTAATCTAGAATTGTGGATATATTTTCTTAGTCTTATAAAACTGATTATGCATGTAGCTTTCCATGCTCTCTAGTGAGATCTTTCAGTATTTAGTATAAAAGAAAAGCTCTTTGTTGAGCAGCACAGTCATAAACTTTCCATGTCTTTGTACTACTATCTGATTGCAGCCACATGTTAGGTGCATGGAAGCAGAGCAAACCAATCACGTTGTCTGTGCTGCTGAAAGGCAGAGGAGAAAGCCAAATCTTTAATCCAGGTTTGTGACTTAGTTCTTTGGAACCAGTGGAATTATGCTGATGCAGGCCAAATAGGATCTGGCCCACAGTCTGGAAAGTAAACATAAGTAAATGTAAAGTAGATGAAGCTGCATCTATGCATAACATTGGAGGCGCTTTGTAACAGTGGTACGACCTCATTTTGGCTGATGAACAGTTATGTATTTACCTTTGGTGGTCAAACTAATCCAGTGTAAGCAGCAAGTACAGCAGGCCCTGTTCTGAAGTGTGCAAAATGCAAAACCTCTCTTGGTAATTCTGTTGTTCATGAAAGTCAGAGAGATGCAGCTGTGTTGTTACTGCAGATAGGGGGGAAATGTTGATGAACTTCACACAGTTGAAAAGCAGTCATGAATTTCAGTGTGGAAAAAAAAGTTGCAGTCAGAAAAAGAGGCTGGGTTTCATTTTGATGGCAGATTGTCAAAAATCAGCGCTGATTTTGGGTGCCTCCATTCACTGATCTCTGATTTGACATCTTTTCTCCTTAACGGCACCTCAGAATCAATCCTCTTCAGACACTTAAAGCAAGGTGTTGGGGCTTCTGACCATTACAGATGAAGAACTCTGTGTTTGGTTTGGCTGGAAATGTAAAACCAGCCCGGGGATTCCCTTGCCACACATCATTTCTGCTTACCAGGTGTGTTCTCCCTCTGATACCCCTCACTCAACTGGAGTGAGCTGGGAGCAGCAGCAGCAACCTCTGCAGAGGCTGCGTCCCAAAGGCAGAGCAGTAAAGGTGTCACTTGAGAAGCCACTTCTTGTCTCTTTATACAGAAAAAAAAGATCTGAGTAAAATGTCCAGATAACCACGATTGAAGAACCAAACCGTTGTGCTGTGAGAGCCTGCTTGTCACCTCTGTGCATAAAGAACATCTCCATCTGCGCTGCTCCAGAGATGATGTATGCATTTTAAGATAGCATTGAAAACCAAATCTCAGGAGGTTCAGAGACTCTCCTGGTGTTAATTATAGGTTTAAACATGCAAGCACTTGTAAAAGCACCCTGATCTATGCAGGTATTTCATAGCACACTGAGTATATACACCTTCATGTCAATTTATTTCACTTGTACAGGGACATCACCTTTAGGATAAGGTATTCTTATTGAAATCACAGTCTTCATGACCGTAGGGATATTTCTGGCTATTTGTTGGTAGAGGGGCAGAGGGTTCTGCTGGCAGCTGCTTGTCTTTGCTGGAGGTTTGTCACTCTTTCTCCCTGTGCTATCAGTTCGCCTGCCCCTCAGGGAAGGGATTTACACCTCCTTTTTGTGGTTAGATCACAGTAAATGTTCTGCAGTCCTTCCTTTTGGCGGTCTGCTTCTTTTGGCAGCCCTCTGTAAGGCGGAGCGGGGCAGCAGCAGCGTGTGACCAGGGCTGCTCTGTGCTTTGAGATGGGCTGCAAAGAGAAAATACCGTGTTCAGAACAGGGTGCTTCCTGTGAAAGCATGGCTGGAGCTTCCACAGCCACCTCATCACCTCTTCCCTGCTCCCACGTGCAGATTGTTTGAGGCAAGGTATTCACATATATCATGAAAAGGCTTTTTTTTTTTTTTTTTACTGTTTTGTTTGATTTTGCCGTTTAGGTTCACTGTGAATTTGTCTTATTTTGATTTTATACCTGGCATTTCTGCAGAAATGAATTTCCCATTATCCTCGAGTAATTTGTGTTCCAAACTGTAACTGGTAAGTCAAAGGTTCCCTATGTCACCTGTGCTGAAAGCTGGTAGGACTTTGCTATACGTCCTGCTGGGACCAAATCTTTTCTGTGTTATAGGGTGTAAATATCTCCCTTAATGTGGAAGTACTTAAAGGGGAATCTCCTTAGTAAAATGCTGTATTTTAACAAAATCTGAGAGAAAATAAAGATAAGAAATGATAGCACTTTTAGTCTGATCAAGCCAATCATGCTGTGTATCGAAGGAATTTATGTAGCAGTGAGGGACTCACGCTGTTCCCTTCTCATTTACAGGCTGAAGAACTTGCCATTCACTTTTACTAAACTCAAAGAACTTGCAGCTTTGTGGCTTTCTGACAACCAGGTAATGGCTTCCAGCGTTCATAATTTCTTTAGTAAGGTACAGGGGCCATGAATGAGGTCTGTAGCCATACATCACTGCAGCAGAGCTTTAGAAGAGGTCTGTCCCAGCCCAGGTGCTACTTTCCTACCAAGCTGTAGGCAGTCCTGGCTGGCATTCTTTATCTGGGTAAACTTGCCATTGCTGGGCTTATTGCTTGCTGCTAACTAGCCTTCTGTGCCCTGATAAAAGTAATAGACAGTGATCAGAATTATCAAGAGAATGTTCTGTAAACAGAAATCCAAGAGGCAAGGCTTTGTTCTCAGCCTTGCTCTTAGTTTGTCCCATTCCTTATTCGTCCCTACCCCTCCATTTTTGTCTTCTGCCTTTTCCTGTCCATGCTTCCCTTCCTGCATATTTCTGACTCCAGTGAAGCCAGTGAGAGTTTAAATGTACAGAAGATGCACAACAACTCTCAGTCTTGTTTTAGAGAATATTCTCATTTAAGTTCCTCTTAATTTTAGATATGCCTTCCTTAGTTCCAGGGAGCTCAGTTCATGTGGCATTACCATTAATTCCTTAGGTAACAGCTACCCAGCATCTGAGCACTAGAATAAGTCCCCATCAGTCCTTGCAATATTGGTGGATAGGATAATTTTGCAGTTCCAGAATGTGATTAAGTGGAGACAAATTCAATTTGTACAGCTTTAGACAAGTTCAACATACCTAGCAGGTTTTAATAATTGCAGTAAGTTCTCATAGTGTCATCTTTCCCACCCTACAATAAAGCCCAGCATCAACCATTACATCTCCTTAACTGAAGCTGAGGAGCATACTGATGCTGCTGGGAATGAGTCCCTCCTGTATCTGTATGAGGCAGCCACAGGAGCTGGGCTGTGCTGTGCTGCCTGCAGCATGCCATCCACTGAGGCAAAGCAAAGGGACAGCTGCATCAGTGCTTTGTTGCATTTCCCCTTCAATTTAGTTTTTGCTTGTATGGCTAAGAAAAAGGCTTCAAGCTGAAGGGAGGGGAGACAGTCTGGGAGGATTAATATACAAAGATGAACAAATTTTCAAGCACTAAATTAGGATTCTAATTTCTCTTATTTCCATAAAAAATGCCCCTACGCATCCACCAAACACACACTTCCAACTAAGCAGGCAATGCTTTTTCAGCATTTTGACATTAGTGATCAGGTTTAGATCACCTTCTAATCCATGAACTGTGACAGTCCCTCCTGGGTGCTGCATTACAGCACATCAATAATGACAGCCAGCTGAGTAGAACTCAGTGTTGCCTCCATGCAGCTGGCACCAGGAGCACCTCACAGTTGCAGGACCCACTCCTTGGGCATCCTGGCTTAAAGCATGCAGCCGGTATTTCTGGTGTTAGAGATCATATGGTGATCCTGGAGTTACAGGCAGACTGAGGAATGGGAGAGGTAGAAGTGCCACCAAACACCGTTGGCTTGGCCCATGGAGAGGGTTCTTTCCATTCAGAATTTTGGTTATTCCTGTGTTTTCTGCTTGTTGCCTGCTAAAACTCTGTCCTGGCTAACAGACGTGCTCTCAGTGACCAGCTCTTTGTTTTGCCTTTCCCACGCAGTCCAAGGCTCTCATCCCCCTGCAAACTGAGGCTCACCCGGAAACGAAGCAGAGAGTTTTGACTAACTACATGTTTCCCCAGCAACCCCGCAGCGATGAAGGTAAAACACCATCAGCCTTCCCCCCTGAGGCAGCAGCAGGCTGTGGGGCCTGGGGGCTCAGCGGTGGCTCTGTGCAGCAGTGTCTGTGCCTCCTCCAGCTGTGCCTCCTGAAGCCAGCGGTGTGCACAGAGCAGCCCATGTGCTGCCATGCACCAAAGGCTCCTGCTTCCAGCCCATTGCTCTCAGAGAGGAGTGGGGGCACCTCCTGGAGCCCCAAGGGCGTCCGACTTGTTGGCCTGCCTGGGCTGCACAGAGAGAACAGGAATTGCCTTGGGCTGCCTATAAAATATCCACTACTGTTAATGTTTATTAAAAAAAAGAAAAAGGGGTAAGAAAAGTGTAACACAGCAAGTTGGACACAGACAAAGGGTCACAGGGAGCAGAGCTGTGAGCCTGACAAAACCAGGCCTTGGCTCTGAAGCCCCTGCATCCCGGTAGAGAGCCTCCATGCTCCTCCTCCAGCTGTGCCCCAAAGCCCTCTTGCTCTCCACCATTCTCTCTGTGATCTGAGCATTCACGTTTATTTTTAATGGTGTTTTTCGTTATGACTTCCATTGCCCCCTCAACAGTTTTGAGACAATGATCCAACGTTTCAGGATCACCCAAGAGCTTCTCTTTTTAGGTGATTTCCAGTCTTTGCTGAGGGCATTAATCTCTTGTTCTGTTGCATTGCCGCTTGCAATTTAACTGTAGATTTCCAGTCAGACAGTGATAGCTTCAACCCTACTTTGTGGGAGGAGCAGAGACAGCAACGTATGACTGTTGCCTTTGAATTTGAAGAAAAAAAGGAAGAGGAGGAAAATCCAGGGAAAGTTAAGGTATGGGGTTTTTTTTTGTTTGTTTGTTTTGCATTCACATATTAGAGACAGAGTCCAAAATACAGATGCTGAATTGAACTATTTCTCTGTTCTGAATAATGAGAAAATACTTGGCCGCATTTCATAAGCATCCCTGTTTTCTCTGAGGTGCACAGAACTGGAATTTTGCGGTTATTTTCCACACAGAATGACTGGGATAGCAGAAATCAGTCCAAACCCACAGGCTGAGCGTTGGGCACCTAATGGGGCACCCATTTCATCACTAAGACAAAATGCACACAGAATGCTGGGGACTTGGGATTACTCTCCAGCCACATCATTCTTTAGAAATATTTAGGTGCTGTGGGGATTCCGTATTCCTCTCCAGGTGAAAGCTGATGAGAGCTGTTAATAATAAATATCTAATATCCCATTTAGATCTTGCTGGGAAAATTGATTTTTTGTTTAAATATTTTTCCTAATCAGGAGTTTTCACTTAACTCTTGCAACCAAATATAATTGTTATCTACGCTACTGCTTTAATACTTTAGCAAAACAGAAAATGAATTAAAAAAGCAATCTGACTCACAATAAATAGATGAAACTGAAGTTTTACCCCACATGAACTTCAGATTTATAGCCTATGTGTGGAAAGCAGAGTTCCTGGGAGTTTCACATTGTTCCACTACTTCTTGTTAAAACTTTGACTGTGAGTAACATGTCCAGGTGTGCAAAAATGTTCACAGAGAAATAGATAATTTTAAGATTGTAGATGGATTGATTGCTTACCTTTTATTTGCGAGCATTGTTTTTGGTATTGAAATGTAATATAAGAAATACATTGCGTAGCCATTTTGGTTTTAATATATTTCAGAACTCTATGGATGACTGAAACCAATGCTTCCTTTGAGTAAGCTATTTCTGTAGACAAACAAAATCCTTCATTCAGCTAATGCTGTTCCTATAGTCGAGTTTGAGTGCTGCCATCTGCTGTGTGGGAACTGGGGAGGCAAATGCTGCTGAGCCCAGTGCCGCATCTTGGGGTGTCCCAGAAGCAGCCCTGGACACACAACCCACCCTATGCCTGGGGATGAGCTGAGGACAGCCTGCCCTGTCCTGTCCTTCCTGCTGGGATGAGGGGCTTTGCCACGTGGGTGAGCCGTGGCCTGCAGGGCTGCTCTGTCCCCGATGTTTGGCTTGGCAGCTGAAGCCAAGGTGGCATTTACCCTTTGGGCCACTGTAGGGGAAGAGCCCAACGCTAAAATATATTTTCTGGAGTTCTTATTTACCTGTTTTCACTCCCACCTGTGGAGAGAATGTAAACCAATGATCAGCGCGAGTCTTATTTCTGCACAAGATTCCTCGATTTCCATATATAATCATAGAGCCATAAAATTATAGAATGGTTTGGTTGGAAAGGACCTTGCAGACCACCAAGCTCCAAGTAGGGAACATTTCCCACCAGCTCAGCTGCCCAGGGCCACCCCCAGCCTCGGGCACCTCCACGATGGGGCACCCACAGCTCTGGGCGGCAGTGCTGGGGCCTCCCTGCCCTCGTGGGGAAGAATTTCCTCCAAATCTCCTCTCTTCCAGTTAAAAGCCATTACCCCCTGTCTTTAGCTAAAATTCTCTGATGAGAGACCCCCAGCTTTCCTGCAGCCTCAGAGGCCCTGGCAGGCTGCAGTGGGGTCTGCCTGGAGCGTTCTCCTTTCAGCCCCCCTCCCTCAGCCCTTCTCTGCAGGGCAGGTGCTCCAACCCGGTGCTCTCCTCCATGATGATCCCGGTATCTCTTCATCAGAACAAAACTTTACCTTTTGGAGTTGACACCTTAGTCACTGCTTAAAGAAGAGTTATTAAACAGAAAGCTAAGCAAGGAGTTAGGAGCTGATCAGGTACGTCCTTCCATCGGTGCATCCTGAAGAGAGCGTTTCTCCTCTTTTCTATCTCTGTGTGTACACCAGATACCCATCACTACCAGGGACCTTATGGGATGAATTTGAAGGTTATCCCAAATTAGCAAGGGGTGGTTACCACAAACATTGTTTGCATTTTATAAAAGCACACGTGGTTTTCATTTTATGTATTTCATATTTAAAACTGACTTCCCATCCACGCTACATAACACCGATTTGAAGATCAACGTTATTCAACAAATTCTTCTTTAAAGAATTTTGAACTTTGATAATTCTCTTTTCAGAGTCGCTCTATTTTGGTGTCGCATTGACAGTTTTCTCTGCAGCAATATTTCTAAGTCAGCAATGAAAATATCTGCTTTCTAGTGCATAGCACCCACCACAGCTGCCAGTATTTTATGGTGTAATACGCCCAGCGATATCAGGCTCTTACTGAAATCCCTGTCTGACTTGCCTATCACATGGAAGTCCTTTAGTTAATTTCTCTTTGGCTAGTGCTTACTGAGGATTTGCTCTGTGACTGCAGTTCTATGCTTGTCTGTAGCTTTTGCATTGAAATCATGGCTCGGATTTTCTGAAAAAGCGATTGCCTCATTAGGCCACATCTGAAAATGATTTCTTTCAACCGTAAATCAACCACAGCCTTAGTAATGCTTTACAGACTTAATTTCTTTTTTTCTGTTGAAGTTCTTTATTAACATATGACATCATAGCCATACATTTTAACGTTTTATGTTAAAGTCATGTCAGAATCTATTATATGTAATGTTTATTCTACTGTGGCTCAGAATTATACGCTAGTATTTCATATAGCTTTATTTTCAAATCGATCGTGATTTTGCTTCCAAAATATTCCCACTGACAGACCATCATCATCTGAATCCAAAATTGCCCTTTTCCCACCTGTCACATGTGTAAAATCCAATGACTGTATGGTGACCTATTAAAAGCAAGCTCCCTTTGTTCACCTCATGTATGCAATTGGGTAAAACTTTGCTGTAAAGGCTTCTGCTTACTTATCACACAGCAAAGACAGACTAATTTCAAATTTCACAGCCTCACAAACAAGCTCAGTTATCCTGACACACTCAGCTTGCTCTGGGAGCTGCCACTGTTCTTCGCTGAAGGAAATTCAATTCAAAGTTGCTGCGTTCCCACCCCAAGTTCAGCCCTAGGAGAATGGCAGGTAGAGCCAGCACCTGCTGCATCCCAGGGGCTGTGCCTGGGGCCAGAGCTCCTGCCTATGGAAGGGCAGAGCAGCGGTGGGAAGCCTCCATCACGGGCAGCGTGCTGAGGTCAGGCTTTGTTTGATTCCTCAGCATCTCTCCTCGTGCCGGGATGTGACGTACAGCAGACAAAAGAGGTCTGTGACACGATGGGGAGCTATAAGGAGAGGCCAGCACCAGGTAGTAGGTCTCCTTCCCTGCTTGGATCGCTCCTGGCCTGGTAACCTGCCTCCCTGTCCACTCTGAGCAGTTTGCTGACAGTGCTGTGTCATGCCCCTCTTCTCCTGTTGCTCAATCCTGAGATTTTGTAGTGCTGTCTTCAAGCTGTGATTGATTTGGACTTGGATGACTGCAATATTTCTTTACTTCTGAGTGATAAAAACAAAAAGCTCAAAGTGTTGATTGTTGTAGGGAATCTGTAGGTCTGTCAGTCAAAGTACTGTTCAGTGTGACACGGGTTGACTTTTCTGTAGTGGTTTAAGTCTGTTTTCCTGTATTTCTGTATACTGGAGCAGAATTCACGTACTTGAGTGCATGTATGTACGTTACACATCTCAAAGAGCAAATAGATCCCAGTAGATCAGATTCCGTCCTCAGCTATTATAGATAATTCTGATTAATTCTGTATGCTGAGCATAGCTCAATTAGTTCTGCATTTGCATCAGTATCATTTTGGAGAAGTGTGATTTAATACGTTAGTACTCTCAGGCCAAGTGCAGAATTAAAATGCTATACTCTCCCAGGGTGAAAGGTAGGCTTGCAGGGAAGCATGCCCATCCATTATTTTATGTCACTGGAATTCCATCATAAGTTGCCACAGTGTAACCGATTGCCAAGTTTGGTCCAAGAACTGAAGAATCCGTGAGGGCTAGCTGTGTGTAACAGGCTACCTCAAATAGGCTAATAACAATTTGAGGAATTTGCACTTAGCCATAGTACTGTAACCATGGTTTTAGTTTGCATGCTGTTTTCATTTTGTATTTGTGCTTTAATTCTTTTTATGAATGTTCAGGTTGAAATAAATCTAAAACGTTATCCCACTCCATACCCGGAGGATTTAAAGAATATGGTAAAATCAGTTCAAAATCTGGTGGGCAAAACAAGCCATGGAGTACGGCCTGAGAACTCAGCACCAACCGCCAACACTGAACAAACTGTGAAAGACAAGTATGAGCACAAGTGGCCCATGGCACCAAAGGAGATTTCAGTGGAGGTAATGTAAAAGGATCGTTGTTCCTCTCAAGAGTTCAAGACGGGGTTTTAGTATAACTCCCTCAAATGCTGTGCTGCGTCTGCTGTGAGCTTCTTGCCTAATGCTTCTAGTTTAATTCTGCAAAGTAAACCTGGTTTTATACTGAGTTGCTCTTTCCTCAATACTACTAACATTTTCAGATTGAAGCTTTGATTTTAAATCTAGCTGGATCTGAATTTTTGTCTTGATATGTATCAGCTCTCTCCTAAATGTTACCACATGGCCAACTTGCCTATTGGTGAGAAAATGGAACTGACTGTGAGTTACGCCTCAGACTTAAATGTTTCTCTGCAACAATATGTAAATGAAAAATCAGTTTGTTCTGTTGACAGTGCTACACCATAAGGTTCTGCTTCTTACAATCCCATTGTGTGTAGTACAGAGCCTTGTCAAAAGTTAATGAAGCCAACAGAGGCGCCTCCTAACCGCAGGGAGCCATAGATCAGTGCTGCCCGGTGACTTCCAGTGTGTTGCACCACCCAGCCATGTGTGTTGGCCAGAAGTGGGACGGCACACATAGTGAGAGTTCTCTATTCTGACCTAACTGTATTTCATGAAAGGTAATTCCAAAATACTGCACAGACTTGTGCAAAGCTGACGTAAGCAGCTGCAGTTTGATCTGAGAGGACATCTGCTTATTGATGCCTTCATATTGACAGCTTACTTTACGTAGGTACGACTTACACGTAGGGGGAATTTCTCACTCTGGCAGTATTTACTGATAGGTTTTAAGGTGCTTGGACAGGTCTACAAACTGTATCTAACACAGAACACATGAACTATTTCCATCCTATCAACGTAGACGTGTTTTTCATCCTCCTTTACTGCAGTACTGGAGATGGTAGACCTTGCCTAGATGTTGGTTTCCCTAATACTTTAAAAGGGCCAGCAGCAAAATAGCTCAGCTACAGGAAAAAAATAGTGTTCTTGTCATTCAGACAGATAGCATCACTGGGAAGCTTTCATGGCAGGAAAGCAAGATGGTGTATCTGTGTTATTCTCTTTGGCATCCCGTGTAAAGATGAAGAAGGGGTGTAGAAAATGTGTGAATGATTTTGTGAATAATATTGGCATGATTTCAGTTGTAACATATTAAATAAAACATAATTAAGCTCCATTTGCTTTGCAGATAATTAGGAGACAGGATCTCAAGCCTCAAGTTAAAATACAGTTTGAAAATGCAGGTGTGTTCTGATAGATTTAGACTGAAGACAGTATCTTATAACAAGGTAATTTAATTTCAGGTGCAATGCTCACTTTTCATCCTCTGAAGCCAGATCAGCTGGTTTCTTTTCTGATCTCTCTTGGGTTTTCTTGCAATTAATTTACACGTGTGTCTTCACAGAATTGTTTCTAAATAATTAAAGGGAGCATCTGAAATGAATAACAAAGTACATTTCAAACCCCCTGCATCACCTTCCACCTTCAGTGATAATAAGCAATTTCTTAATCATCACTTAAAATAAGCCTGTTCATTGTCCTGTGTTTCATTGTGAAAGATGTGCCTTGTAGCCAAAAAGAAGGTTGGGATAACACCGTGTACCCCTTCCATGAGCAACAGTGAGGAATACCAAAAATGGGCAACTACGATCTTTACAGTTAATATTCTTGGTACGAATGGACTGAGAAAATCATTGCAAAGAGATCTGCATGACTCCCAGGTTTCTGTTTTTTAAAAAAATCTCTTTTCTAACCCAGAGTGCAGCATTCCATCCCTTGTGTTAATTCCTAGCAGGTTTATTAGCACTGAGTAGAAAGAAGAGATGGTTTTCTTCCGAGTAATCTGCTGCAGATGCTGTGCTGGGTCTGCTGAGACCTTCATCTCTCTTCAGTCAAAACAAGACCTCAATCCTTTTAACTTCCTTCTTCTTTACTTGCTCAGCTTTGCGTTGTTTTAGCGGGATGGGAGTGAGAGAGAGAAGGCTGTTCTTTCTGTTTTGTGCTCAGTCAGATCTTCTAGAGAGTCTCTAAAACTCATCCTGCCGTTCCAGAAGGACTTTGCATGCTTTTATTTCCCCTGGGCTGCCTGGCTTCAGTTCATTCATTGATGTATCCGTCATGGGAGCTGTTTTCCCCTGAGATGCACAATGACAATCTGACTGGGAGGGCAATTTGTCCTGAAGGTTTTCAGTTTGTGTCTGCTTTTAGGCCGTGCCTTGATGGGCACTTTGCAACAAAATGACCTATATTTAACAAGGAGCCAGAAATATCTTCGTTATCGAGTTTTGCCATATGACTTCTCCATAGCACAGAGCATCTTTATTGAGGTTATGACCTTGGTGGCTTCCAGTCACAGAAGGAAGGTGATGGTGTTCTGTTCTGGAGGTCTGACTTGCAAGAGAGCTTTCTCCAAATAGGGTGTCAAACGTCTTAAAGTTAATTCTGAGTTACTTTGACTCCTGCCTGACCTTGTCTAAGAGTCTGGATGTTAGAGGCATCATTCAGGACTGTCTCCAAGGTAAAGCCTTCCTTCCAGAAATTCAGTCTTGAGGCGTGGGTCCTGCACGAGGATTCAGGAGGTGCAGCGCTGTGTCGTGGCACGCTGTGCCATCCCGTGGGCCTGGTCTTTGCCTCGTGGACCACACACGGACTTTTTTCCAAGAGACTCGAGACTCTCTTTGTTGGCAGCACCCGCAGTGATATGTCTGCCCTCGGGTGCGTATCCGTGTGGACTGAGAGCTGGTTTCCTCCTGAGATGGGAGAACACAGGGAGTGCAATTCAGAGCCTGAGGTCCTGTAACTCAGGGCAGCACTAGGCCTTCTGTCCTCACACTGAAGACCACGTACAGAACAGAACAGGCCCATGGTTTATAACTTAGCAAGATGCTGCTATGTCTGTCATCCTCTGCAGTTCATGACTAAGCACTGGCTGGTTAGCATCTGCAGGTTTTCTTTCCACAATTCCGGCCATGTTGGCAAACAGGCCTGGCCTTTTGAAGTAAAACATTTTCACAATGAAAAGATCATTACAGACTTTGGCATCTTTGGCTGTAGGGAGTTCTGGTCACTGCTTGGATGCTGCACTTCTGATCACTGGAGCAGTCTGGGTTGGTGTGTGTGTTCCTCCAGCTGCTGGCCAGTCCATGGGGCTGCAAAGCAGAAACATAGAGCAGAAACAGCCCTACCTGCCCATGGCAGTTGTTTTTCAGGACCTGTTATGTCTCACTGCATAGTGCCCCCAAAACTCCTTGTCCCAGTCTGCTCCTCGTGTACTTATGTCACCAAATCAGCAAGCTCGTGTCTTCTTATAGAGCTCTGCTGCATGGGAATGCCTGCTGGACATGGCTGGTGGTGTGCTGGCTGCTGGACCAGCTGAGATGTGCTTGAGGGTTCCTTCATTCCCCACCTTCTGATCCCAGTTCTGCATTCAGTTTTCCTTTCACCAGTTCTGTCCCTTAGAGGGACTTGCATCTCATCATTACACTCTGCGTGGGACAGCCCTCAGGTCTGTGGTCACTGAAATGGCCCTCCTGGGAGCTGCTGCTGTGGCAGGAGAGTGGCTCAGATTAGGGAACAGATGGCAGATCCTCTGCTCTGCATTCCTGTGGGGTAATCCCACATTCTGGGGACTCTCTACGTTTCTAGATTGATTGGCTGCATTTTATTTTGGTCAGTCTGGTAATTGCTATCAGCAAAATACTATGATTGGTTTTCACACAGCTTCAGGCAGGTTGCATTTTGTGGTCTTGCCAGGAGAGGACTTGTTAGCCAGGCTTTGTAGCTCTCAAGGGAGCCCAGACCTGCAGAGGGGTGCCCTGGGTGAGGGGCACAGCAAGGCTTTGTCCTACACACACACAGCTGGGCCTGCGCCTGAATTGGCCTCACTTCTATGGAAGGGGATTCGTCTTTATTCTTTCATTAAAACCTTAGTACAACCTGGACCAAGTACCCTTGGCCTGGATCTGGTTATTTGTTGCATTTGCTTCTCGATTTCTGTATGGCTGGCGTGGCATCTTTCCGATTGCCCCAGCTTTCAGCAGGTTGTTCCTCTGCCCTCATTCCTCTGGTCCAGTGCAGGCTAACAGCCCTGCACCATCACCTCTGCCTTGTGTGTGCTGCTCCTGCACCGAGCCCCAGGCTGCTCTGCTCAGAGTCTTTCTGTTCTTTGCAAGCAGACCCTAAGAATGAGGTTATTTCGAAAATCACAGCTCTCCAGATTTTGATGTGATGTTTTTATGTTGTCAGACAGTATTTCTCTTTCCCGATTATTCTGCTGGTTTCTGCTGTGTGCTTTCTCTTGGGAAACAGCTCGCCATATTTTTCTATTCTCAGCATATATCCTCCTGTGTTTAGGCCTGGGGAATAAAGCACAAGTACATTCATCTCCTTCCTTTGTCCTCACAACTGATCTATCCAATAATACCTTTTATTTTCCATTAGTGCCCTTTTTGTCCTTTTAAGCCAAGTAGTAGCAAATGGAATATGGTTGGGGTTTCTTACATCTTTCACTTCCATGGCATGTTCACAAATGCCAGACTAATTCTTTCCAAAATGTACTGATTTTTGTTGGAACTGCCAGAGTGGAGGCTAAAATGATAGAAAAGAAAGAATATGGCATAGAAAACTTCATAAAGTCATACACCTAAAATAAAATGTGTGTTCATCTTTATGTCAAAAATGGAACTGCTGGTTCATCCTGCCTTACAGCAAGTAGTTTTATTTTGAGCTTTTAACTTTTGAAAGTTTCATGGCACAATATTGGGATTCTAGGTGCAAGAATTCCATAAGAGTCACCTGTCTGATACAGACAACACTCATAAATCGACTCTGGACAGGAAGGAGAAAGAAGAGCGTACAAAAAGCTCAGAGGTACAACAAGAAATAAGTTTGAAGCATGCACCATGCTTCAAAAGTGGAAAATCTCTCTCCCTGAATGTGTGCACTTTGTTACTTTTCAAAAATCATTTTGCATGATTAGTTTGTTACACTGCAGTAGAAATGATTGTTCTGCACTGGAAAAAGGCTGTTCACTATTGCTAGCTTTGAGCTGTGTGCACACTGGTACTGTTAGGTGAGAAATCACACGCACCACAAGGGAGCTCTGTACATCAAGGCAGTAAAATCCTGCAGTATCCCAGCATGCAGTGTGAAGCTGTATTTGCATAAACGTTAGCACTGATGGGGTTAAGTTAATGGGTTGTGAGGATGCCTGCTCTTTTCTATGTTGGTATGGCACTGTCTCTAATAGTACACAAAAGCAGAAGGATTAACATACCTGTTTTTTAAATCTAATCACATTCATCAAGAATAAATCACTCAGCAAATGCTTCTACAAATCTTCGTTTCCACTGCTGTTACAAAGTAGTTAATGGAGCTCAGTTTCCTCGAGGTTTTCTTTTGGGTTAAAATCAAGTAAAATTAAAAAAATATATTTACATTTCAGTGATGCATTTTTGTTTTTGGTACTCCGTTTTAAATTCTCTAAATGTTACATCTCCTACCTTTACTGACTCCTCTCTAAAACTGTGTGACCCGTGATCACTGGAGTACCTTTACAGCTAAGGTCCGGGCACAGGACCCCCATCGTGTCTCCACAAGAGAAAGTTCCCTCCCACTTATGTTTCTTCTGTTTCCTTCCTCGTTTTCTTTACTAATTTTTCATTTTCTCCTGGTAGCTCTCTAAAATGTCTTCTTTCTCACTGGATATTTTCCTTCCCCAGCCTCCATCCTCAACAAAATCACGGCTCATCCTCCCACTTCCAAGCCGATGCATGTTTCTCTTACTCCTTCCCACAGGGATCTTCCCTGCTGTTAGTTAGCACAGTCTTGCTGTACCCATCCCCATCAGTTCTCTCCCCATGATGTTCCCCTGATCCCACACACTGATGCCCAATGTGGGTTTCCCGTATTGTTTGTCTTCCTCCTCAGCGCAGGGTTACCTCTGCCATCCCTCCGCTTAGCATCCTCTCCTACCCCGTCTCCCCAGGTCACCCATCTTTGGGAATAGCACCTTTCTTATTTCTAAACTTTTCCTGGTGGTGACATAAAAAAATGCCCCCAAATTGCTTGTTTTCGTCTTAATTTCCTGCTTCTGGCTGTCCCGTGAGCCTAATTTAAAAGCACTTGTTTAAAATACTTCTTACTAAAACCCCATCTCATTTTCTTTCCACTTTTTAACGTACGTTATTTGCAGTATGTATCCTATTGCTGTCTGGAACTGCAGAATGTTGTGCAGGGGAATCTTAGAAAGTCTGCAGAAGGAACTCTGCTGAACTCCTGAGGAGTTTTTGAAACCCAAATTATTTAATTTAATGAAGTGTAGCAACATCATGACCTGAATCTATGGAAGGACTAATGCCACAAACGAATGAGGAACACTTACTCCTGAAGTTAGAAGTAGATATCAATATTATTTTTTTATTTATTTCTACTGGCAGCTTGCATTTTTGTGACTTCTGCTCCATCAAAAATGTTTACACGTCCTTGATGTATCCTACAAGTTCCATCTGTTTTGTCCACATTTTCAAAATGAATGCATCACCATCATTTTAGAAGTATTTCCAGGACTGATTGGAATTTTCAGCTGACAAATCATTGTGATTAGATTATTTCTGTCTGGTGGGGTGTCGGTGTGTTGTCACATTCATGAAAAGAAGGCTTTAAAACGTCTGTTGACACTGTTTCCTATGTTTACTCTACATTATTGTATTCCTCAGGATGCCTTTGGACATCCTGCCAGTGAGATGAGGATAGGGGAACTTCGTCCTTCCCTGCCAGAGACTCCGTTGTACCCACCCAAACTTGTTCTTCTGGGTAAAGACAAGAAAGGTACTAACTTGACTTACAGCCTTTTAGACGGGTGCACACATAATCTGCATAGACAGAATCTAGCATATTCTATACTTCACTGATTATAAAATGTATTTTGTACGTATTTATGCACACAAACACACACATATATATATATATCCATAGTATGCATTTGAAAATGTTTTTTCTGGAGCTTAGTTTCCAAACGTCACCTCCTGAAAATGTTTGCTGTGTTTTGTTTCAGAGTCGACAGATGAGTCTGAAGCAGATAAGATCCACTGTCTGAATAACAGCGTTTCCTCAGGCACTTACTCAGACTATTCCCCTTCCCAGGCTTCCTCAGGGTCCTCCAACGCGCACATTAAAATGGGGTCCTTGCAGACATCGGCTAAAGAAGCAGTGAATAACTCTTTGTGGGGGAACAGGTGTGAGCCTCTTTTTAACACAGCTTCTGATCGCCTTTTGTCTTACCTTGTCACACCATGTGCACTGATCGTGTGCTAGCTGTTAACACATTCAAATCAAAACAGTAACGCTTTACCCCAGGTTTCTCAGGGTGTACGTGGCAATACGAGCCCAGGCTGCAGAGTGTTGGCCATTCCTTCCTGCTCTGTAAATGTCGATAATTCTGCGGCTGCTTTTCCAACCACGTACAACAGCCATGCCCTAAAAGCACCTCATAATTGAGCTGTAATTACTCCGCTCTGTGGGGTCCTAAGCTGCAGCTGGCTGTAGTTTAGTGTTAACAGAGTGCATGTGTCTCTCATTCATGCTGTCCTGAGCCTCACTCTGCCCCAGAACTCCAATTGCAATGCAGATGATTGGAATTTGTAATTCACACCGGCCGTCAGCAGCTGGAAAGGGCTCTTGTTGCATTCAAGGAACACTGTGCTCTGTCTGTTCCTGCCTCCGGTCACCCAAATGTACCTTCATCTTATGAAATCCACAGGCCCTTTGCATTACACAGGGAGTCTGCTTGCTGGAGATGTGTAGCGTCTTGGTGGTGAGAAGATGCACGACTCCATCTGGTAGCTTTGTTTAAAAAAAAAAAAAAAAGTTGCAAGTGTAAAACATTTCCCCTGTACTCACAGAAGGTTGTTTCTGAAGCAGGAAAATATGCTCAGCTGGATTTATGTGTGAGTTTGGCTTTGAGCCGTCCAGGAATTCTGACTTGCTTCTTGTTTTCTCAGTGTGCATACCTCCAGCATCTGTGCTCCAGTGCAACATACTGCTGCGGGCACGTGCCAGATCAGTGACATAAGGTGCACATCTCATGATATGATCCCAAAGCCCGAGTACAGATGGGAGAATATTACATCGCGTTACGAGTGTGTCTTTCTGCTGACTGCTTCTGTGCTCCAATGGAGGGCATTTTACCTTGGTTTGCTTTGTTTTATTTCAGCAGGCTGGTGCAATCGTTTCCACAGCCCCTCGAAACAAAGCCATTACTGAGCCAACGGGAATCTGCTCCGGCAGGGAACGTGCCGCCGCGCACCGACCGGCGTCCTCTGAGTGAGACCTTCACCGACAGCTGGAATGACAGCTCACACTACGACAACACCGGCTTCGTGGCGGAGGAGAGTGTGGTGGAGAACCCCAGCGCTAACCCTCTGCTAAGCACGAAATCTAGAAGCACATCTGCGCATGGGCGCAGGCCGCTGATTAGGCAGGACAGGATAGTTGGCATTCCTCTGGAGCTGGAGCAGCCGACGCTCAGAAACACACACGAATCTGAAGTGCCTCCTCCCAACCCTTGGCAAAATTGGACCAGAACCCCTAGTCCTTTTGAAGACAGGACAGCTTTTCCTTCCAAACTGGAAAACACCCCCACCACCAGCCCTTTGCCCGAGCGGAAAGATCTTGTCAAAGAGTCTCCTGAGATAACTAGCACTTTCGCTCCCGGAATAGCATGGGAATATCACGATTCAAATGCTAACAGAAGCCTCACAAATGTCTTTTCACATATCCACTGTCGCCCAGACCCTTCTAAAAGCGTTATTTCCATCAGCAAGAGTACGGAAAGGCTTTCTCCGATGATGAGGGATTTAAAAACTAACAAATTTAAGAAATCGCAAAGTATCGACGAGATAGACATCGGTACCTACAAGGTTTATAATATTCCTTTAGAAAACTATGCATCTGGTAACGATACTGTAGGAGCCCACGAGAGGGTGGACAAGCTGCTGGGCCCGGAGCACGGCATGCTGAGCATGTCCCGCAGCCAGTCGGTCCCCATGCTGGACGACGAGCTGCTGACCTACGGCAGCGTCAAGGTGCAGCCGCAGCAGAAGTCATCCGTGACGAAGAAGGTCTACCAGTTTGACCAAAGCTTCAACCCGCAGGGAGCAGTGGAGGTCACGGCCGAGAAGAGGCTACCGCCGCCTTTCCAGCTCAACCCCGAGTACATCGCCCCGCAGAGCAAGAACCTGCCCCAGGAGCTGGTCAGCCCCAGGGCGTACCGCGGCTACCCGCCCGTGGAGCACATGTTCTCCTTCTCCCAGCCGTCGGTGAATGAGGATTCTGTCAGCACGCCCTTCACGAGCCAGGGCTCCAGGCCGGGCTTCTTGAGGAGGGCGGATTCTCTGGCCAGCTCCACCGAGATGTCCATGTTCCGCAGGGTGAGCGAGCCCCACGAGCTGCCGCCCGGCGACAGATACGGCCGGGCTCCGTACCGCGGGGCCATGGAGCGCCAGGGCAGCATCTCGGTCTCCGAGTCCCAGTTCCTCAAGAGGAACGGCAGGTACGAGGACGAGCATCCTTCTTACCAAGAAGTGAAAGCCCAGACCGGCAGCTTTCCCGTTAAAAACCTCACCCAAAGGAGGCCCTTGTCTGCAAGAAGCTACAGTACAGAAAGTTATGGCACCTCTCAAACCAGGCCGGTCTCAGCGAGGCCCACCATGGCGGCTCTGCTGGAAAAGATACCGTCAGACTATAACTTGGGTAACTATGGCGACAAGCCTTCCGATAGCAGTGATATAAAGACAAGGCCCACCCCTGTGAAGGGAAATGAGAGCTGTGCTAAAATGCCCGCTGACTGGAGACAACAGCTACTTAGACATATAGAAGCTAGAAGGTTAGACAGGGTATGTTTGGCACTTCTCTGCAATTAATGCCTTTAGTCGTGTGTTTCGGTATTTCAAACTATTTGCACGTGCAGTGGTGACCGCCAGAGCTCCCAGTAATGAAATCCCGCGTTGGCGCTGCGGGGGTCTTTGTGTGCAGAGCGGCAGGGAGGAGCCCTGCTGCTGCCTGCCCAACAGGGGCATCCCCTGCTGGCCGCAGCTGTGGGCGCTGCCGAAGGCCGCCGCTCCCGTAACGATTCGAGAGCGTGGGAAGAGGCCGGATGCGTCTTTGCGGTAAAACAAAACGAGGAAAAATATCAACCAAAAAAAAAAAAAGAAAAAATAATCATCGTAATTTTAGTTTTCAGATTGCTGTTAGCAGAGGCATCTTAAAGCTCTCTCTTAGCATTGAAAAGCATTACTGGAAATACGCTGCCACTGCTTTTAACGTGGAATATGATCGTTACTCCTCTTAGCAATAGGAGCTTTTGCCCATTTATCTTCTATCCGAAACGTAACACGATTAGGACAGTGCATGATTTCTTATAACGATGTTGACTATTTAACGGCCTACTTTATGAATCTGGGTTTACTTCATAGCCTACAGTGATTGTGAAAAGCTGCTGTGCTCTGACGCATAGGTTAGTAGCAAAATGTGTCTGCCTACGTATTTCATGCTAGATATCCACGAGTTTGGTGTGGATATGTTTATTGTCCCTCCCAATTGCACAGACGTGACACATGCTAAAATACCACCAAGGGTTAAGTGGGTAACCTTTCTGACCTGGCTCAAAGGCTGAAGCTCTTTCCTTCCTTCAGCTAGGTTCCCTGTGCTGCATGAAACAAGTTGGAAAGCGCCCACCCCAGGCACAGTACAGCAGCCAGGTAGAGAAGGTTCTGGTAGCAGTAAACACTTCCCAGGTGCTTTAGAAGCATCTTTACTAGTAGCTTACAAGGAGTATGTGCTTAAGAAATGCTCTGATTGGCGGAAAGCTGACATTGGTGATGTCACACAGTTATGCCCCGCTCCCAGCGACGCTGCAGAGGCAGAGCTGGCCTCCAGCTGTCTGCAGCACCCAGCAGCTCGGGGCGGGCTGCCCGCAGGGATGCATGCCTGCAGGCTCATCCCGTGGAGGACTTCCCACCATTATGCCAGATGTGTTTTCTGGCCCAGCTGGGGTGGTGCAGACGTGCCAAAATTTGGCCGTATTTTTAAAGTAAAGATGTGTGCCACATTATATACCGCAGTTCTCAGAATATAGATAAGAACATATTTCATCTGCTGTCAGCGTTGAAGTCTTTTATGGTACCCATTTTATGTACAACTAGCGATGTATTTGCTTCCGTGTGACTCAGTGCATGCATCAAAAAGCTATTTACTTCTTGGTACTGTTTGTTTGCTTAAACTAAAACTTTGTGAAATTAACCATATATGTGTGATACTTAATTGAAGGAGCATGTGTGTTCATATCCTGTCACGTGGTTGTTTCCTCTACTCAGACCGCTGCTTACAAACACAACACAGTTAGCCTTGGCATGCTGCACTCTGGAGGGTTTTCAGCAATGCATGCCGGCAGAAGCATGACTTTAAACTTGCAGACTAAATCTAAATTTGAAAACCAAATGCTTCAAGAGCTACCTCTACCGAAAGTAAGTATGGGATAGCCAGCATATACCAGCATTACCAAATAAATTAATAATAATCCTTGCTTTCTCTTGGTTTAGCTTTTGCCTACTGTTCATGCTTATATTGTACACAATCCAAAAAGCAAAGATGATGGTAACGGTGTTTTCCTACTCGATGATCTTGCTTTTTGGATGAAGGAGCTCACATGGCTGTCATTACTGCTTTCTGCTCTTGTGTTAGATGATGCGATCATTATGTTTTCTAAACGACTTGATGTGTGCATAGAAATGAAGAACATGCTTTGTTTTGCGACTGTTTAATCTTAAAAAATTAACGTAAAGATGTTTGACATGCAGTTGAATAGGCTCCAAGAGACAGGATTTGTAACATTTGAACATCAGCGGGGCACTCTGTAATAGCTGATATGTGCCATGATAAGTGGCTTGCACACCTAACGTAACGTTCAACTGTTTTAGTAACGCCCTTAGAAATAGCATTTTTCCTATTTTTGCTGAATATTTTGCAACTGTTAATGATATATTGTTTATAAGTGCATACATACACTGCTCTACATGTGCAGATGTTGGGTGAGGAGAATAATGAGGGCCACTGCTGACCCATCACTGGGTGCCAGGGAGATGCTGAGCCCTGCTGCAGGCCACGTGTGGGGCCAGAAGGGCGAGCATCGTTGTGTGCCGCACCTCATTACAGCAGTAGCTGGTGGTGCAAATGAGCTGCATCTCTGCGAGTAATTAAATGGTAGCAGAGCGCAGAGCCAGGCACTGGAACGCCATCATCTGCCCTGTTAATTGCTGACCTGCCGCGGGCACGTGGCTGCAGCCAGCTGGTGCAGCGCCAGGGAGGGCTGGGCTGCTGGGGTAGGGCTGACATCCAACCCCGCGTGCCAGAGAACCGAGGGCAGCAGCGTGAGCAGGCTGTGCTGGCCAAAGGGCTCCTGGCTAACGCCAGCACACAGCGGGGTTCTCAAGCAAAGCTGTGATAGCCTAACAGCACGCACAGCACGCACAGATGGCTGTCAGGTTCCCCTGCTGTGACTCTCCATACCACCACCACCATTCAGCTGTCCCAGGTTTGGGCGAATCCCAGTGTGGGCATCTGCCTCCTCGTTGTCCAGCTCAGGTCTCGGCTGTGGCTGTGTGTGCTGGGACATGGACAGCTGTCCGGTGTTGCTCGTGCTGTTTTTCCCGTCCGAGAGTTTGTCTGTCTGTTCGGGTGTGTGGTTCCTCTTGTCAGCAGTCCTTCACAGACACCCATCCATCCGACAGCAGCTGTGGTCAGGCGGAGAGGTTTTGTACACAAAGTTCAGAGTAATATCACTTCCACAGTTTTGAGGTGTAGGTGAATTTGGAAATGAAAACCTGGACATCAGAGGAACCGCTCAGGGTGATGTGTTTGGGGCGTGTGAATTATTTTGCTTTATATCCCACTGGCATTTCATTGCTACATATCCAAGTGACATGTGATGCTGAAAGGCACGAGGGGTGCGTTCTCTCACTGTACCATTTGGGAAGGGGGTAAGACTGTTGTTGGACAAAGAATAATTGATGTTTATTATTGTTTGATTTTGTTCTTTCATGCATTGTAAAACATTTTGCGCTTCTCAGTGAATCCAGGCCATGGCAGCTCCATCCTCTCCTTTTCTCCTCCCTCTGTGCTGTGGCCGGATTCAGGAGAGTAACGAGTGGGGTCTGCTTGTCCAGTGGAAGATCAGGAAACCGTATTTAGCAATTATGTATTCTGATGAGGTTAACTACTGAGCCCTCTCCATGTATGAACTGCTGCCCCCAGTTCTCCCTGACATAGTGGATAAGTGGTTTTTGCTGGTTTACAGTCCATCCAAGCTCTGTGAACGAGTAACATGCCAAGGAGGGGGATCTGTTTTGCTGCAGAAAATGGAAAGAGGAACTTTTATCACAGAATCTTTCTTTCTCTTCAAAAAGCACCCTCTGATTTTTTTTCCTCGTTGAGTGTGAACTCAGCACCGCACATCAGTTGGGTGCTCACGAAGAAGGCAGCGGTGAGGCTCTGAATGGTCAGTGTCTGCACCACACTGCTTCTCATAGCTGTGCTTTGGGTTGCAGCAGGCGCAGAAGTGTGCAGCAGCCCTGCCAGGCATCAGCATATGGACGTGTGTTGCTCAGCAGGCAAAGCTGCAGCAGCGAGCTCCTGCCTGGCAGCACTGCGTCCACGGAGCCCTTTCTGCTCCATAATTTCCTGCTGCTCCTCAGAGCTCGGCGTTTTGCGCAGAGCACTTTTGTTGCAGAAGCAGTTTGCTGCTCCTGGTGGGGGCACGGAGGTGTGGAGGCAGAAAAGGGGCTGATCCCCATAGCAGGACCTGCATTCTGCCCGCAGGAATGGGGGAACTCCCGGCTGTCAGTTTCATGAGAGGAAATCACAGCTTTCCTGATTCTTCTGGAAGACTTCTTGAATGATGAGAGAATGGTGACAGTTTCCTTGGATTTGAAATAATTAAGGATGAATTTCCTTTACTCACCTCTGAGGAGTGCAGCTTTTAAAAGTTTTACTGTATTTATTCTTAAAGGATTGCTAAGCCTGCACTGTAGAGGAAAAGTTCCTAATTGGCCACTAATTGGCTCTAATGTTTCAAAGCTGCAGTCCCATGTGTTCTTCAGTCATCTGAAGAAGTGTTTTGCAATTGTTTCAAACCTAAATGGAAAAAAGAATTGGTTGGGGGATGGAGAGAAAAAGCACTGCACCAACCAAAGCTGAAGGAGGAGCTGCTTCCCGCAGGAGGGCAGTGCTGGAGAGCTTCGGGGGCCTGGCACAGAGTGCCGTATCCATGTCAGTGTCATTTCAGCTGTGATAAAGAAACACAGCAAGAGGAGAAAAGCTGGAGGAGGCAGGAAGGTGCAGGTGGCCTGAAGGGCACCGAGAACTGTGGGGTGAGGAAGTGACCTGAGTCGTGTCTGAAAGGAGAGAAAAGCAGAGACAAAGTACCCGAAAAAGTGCCAGACTTATTTAGGAAATGATGCATGTGTGATGTCCGTTTGTACTCAGGAAAGCAATTACCTTGTGGTTAATGTGCTTACGGTGCCTGGCTGCCTTGGAACCAGGAGAGCTGTGTGCTGAGCGCCCCATGGCCGCAGTGCCACTGCAGGGAATGTCTGTCTGAGCAAAGGGAGGGGAGTCGTCTGGCCTTGCTCAGCATTCAATGAAATGCTTTTGGTGGCCAGTAGGAAAGCTTTCATTCAAACAACTAATGCCCATTTAAATACGCGACTTTGCCAAAATTTGTTGTTCTGAAAACAAGGATCAAGGGTAAATGAGTTTGCTCTTTTCTCTCATCATTCATCATGCTCGTTATTTCTCCTGTGTATTTAAGATCTATAACTTGCAGAGTCCCACTGGCGTACGACTGTGCGTTAACGAAATGCTGTAGATATTTAAGAGATTTCCATTTTAGCACTAGTGTTGATTACTGAAATAAGGTTGGAGCAGAGTTGTTGCTGGTGACTAAAGGCTGCCCTACCGTTTGTGAACAGACCCCGTCGCAGCAGAGCAGCATCCTGGACAACGGGCAGGACGAGGGGCCGGGGAGCGGCCAGTGGAACCCCTACCCGCTGGGGCGGCGGGACGTGCCCCCCGACACCGTCAGCAAGAAGGTGAGCAGCGCGGCCGGGGAGCAGGGGGGCCCTGGGGTGGGCCTGGGAGATGCTTGTTTTTGTGGAATTGTGGAGTTGCTGGTGTTGGAAGGGGCTTTTAAAGGTCCTCTGGTTTGGTCTCAGTGTTTTAAGCAGCGGTCACTAGGAACGAAGGGCCTTGTTTTGATGCTGTCCCCATCGTTGTGTTTATTCCAATGCTGCAGTGTGAGAACTGGGCACCGTGTGTCCGTAGATGTATTCCTGCACATGGTGGGCAGCCAACAGCCCCTCCTGTCCTCAAAATCCTTCACTCACATTCCTCATTTCAATCACATCCGTCGGTTCATGACCAAAAGGAAACGTGCTGAGGTGGGGAGCAGCTCATGAGCTGCCACTGCCGGGACACCCCGAGCACCTCCAGCTTCACAAGGGGAGCTGTGCCTGTAGCAGCGACAGTGGCACCCATTGCTGTCTGTGTGGAGACAAGTCCTGCTCCTGGATGAAGTCTTATGAGTTACAGTGTGCCTATTGAAAACTTCAGCAGTGTAATTAACCGTCAGCACTGATGAGATAAATATTCCCCGACTGGCTTCACATCTGTTTCTCCAAGACAGCAGCAACCCTTTCAAGAAGGTAGAGACAAGGCAGTTTGCACTTATGAGGAGTTACGCTTTGTATCCTAAGTTATCCTTAACTTCACAAGCATTTGGGGGTAAAACCTGCACTTACCCACCACCATGACTGGATACCCGTTTATGTCTCGCATCATCAGTGTCACTGTAGTAAGGAACTGCAGATTCTGGTTCATTCTGAATATTGGAGCGTCTCAGTGCTCCAAAGCAGTAAGCACAAATGTTGCATAACTGTACTGAAATCTGCTGCACTCCAGGGAGCAACCCTTTGTTGCACCCACTGCTTCAGCTATGCTGTAAGCATCGGGCACTGAGCTAACAATAATTACCATTTAGGGTGATGCTGAATGAAGTACAGAATAGCAATGAGATCAGGGGAGGCAGTGGGCATGATGGAGACCTTTTTCTGAAGAACAAATAATCGCCCTTTCTGAGAACAGGGTTTGTTTTCAGCTTACCCACCTCCAGCAGGAGCCACAGCATGAGTGCACAAGCAGTGGTGATCATCTCTTCAAACAAAGTCTATTAACAGGAATGAGAAATGAATTCTGAAAACTGTTTACCCATCCTCAGGAGGTGCTTTGCAGTGTGTTGTTTTGACAATGCTCATCTCATTTCCAATGTAAGTCACCTGCAGGGCCTTGGATTCCAAAAGTCTCCTTATAGAAAGGAAGTACACCATAAGGAGCAATGACATGATGTAATACACTTTGTGGAAGCTGTTGTTGTTTACCTGTAGCACAGTACCTGTAGTCACGGTGGGAAAGGGCCCCCGCAGAGAAGTCAGCCTGGGGCAGAGCTGCCCTTGGGACGTGGCTGGGAGAAAGCTGGGATGTGCTCTTCTGAGAGGAAGTGCCACCCACAGGCTGTGCTCAGGATGGTGGAGAATGTCGCCATCACAGTGCCTGCTGCTAAACCAGCTGCACCCAGAGGGCTGCAGTTTGTGTCGTGATGGTACTTCAGTTCGTTGGGGGGTGGGAATACTACACATATAACTGTGTAATGTATGGGACGTGAGGGTTAACTTCTGACCTCTTCACTGCTCACGCTACAGATTAAACAACAGCTTTGTTTTCATCTAAGTATCATCATTTAAGTGATCAGCTCATACTCCGTGGTATATTTATTGTACGGATAAGTTTTATGGATAAGTTATGGTATGTACAAGATATCGTATGGATAAGTTTTAAGTTTACTAACCTTTAAATCAAGTAACCACTGCCTTATTAGAGAACTGCAGAGCTTGTGCTTTTATGTCATGTCAGCTTCTTTCTGAACAACCTGCTTTTCTGTAAGAAGGAAGGAGTTGAGGTGTGGGAGAGGAGCACCCAAAGGCAGCCTGGAGTCACTGCTGATGGAAATGAGTGGCTGAAGAGTGAAAATGAAGATGGAAGATGAATGGCCGCTAAGTCCAGCAGCCTAGGGGCAGGTTGGCTGCTGCAGCGGCTGTGGGTGAAACACACAACAGCTGAGGCTACACAAACTCTTGGAGAGCCCTGCGTGGGCTGTATGGGGCTCAGCAGCTGTGCAAGGAACTGGAGCAAGGCAGCTGCCTGGAAATAGGACGCACTAACATGGCTGAGTCTCCGTTTCCTCTTTTGACGTAGAGGTTGATCTGTTAGCCAGAACTGGGGAACTGGAGGGTCCTTCTGTTTTATTTCCAGTGTCTGCTGCTCAGTCTGGAGCTCTTTTAGGCTGATGTGAAGATCTGAAGATTTTCAGTGAAGAAGCACGGTGTTGTTTGTGTCCGAAATTGGTGTCTTCCTTTGAGGTGGACGTTGCGCCTGATGCAGATGCTGTGGTGGATGAGCTGCATCATATCTGAGTCAAACAGTGGGATTTATGAGATTCCTCTCTTTTTGGATACTTCAGCAATGAGTGCCAAGCACATGAAGCACAGGACCTGCATAGCTCAGGGTGACATGGGCGCGTGGTTTGATGTGCTGGGAGCTGATGAATTACTCCAAGTCTGTCCTGGGCAATTCCCTTCTGATCTTGGAGGAACTGCAGATCTTCCTGACCCGTAAAGCAGAATAATCAGTGCAAACGGACTTCCCCAGGCTCTTCCAGGAGCAATTTGGTCAGTGCCCATTAACACTGTCATGTCCACATGCTCTTTAAGAAGAGTTTGGGCACTAAAGAGCAGGGTACAACAGTAGCAGAGTTCTGTGCTGTTTTTCATGAGGCTACCCATCTCAGGTACTCAGACACAGACCTGCCAGACGTATTCTGGCTGTGCTAGCTGGTCCTTCTGTTCAGATGCAATCAGCAGAACACCAAGGCAGAGCAGTTTTGCTTGCAGTCATTGTGCATCTTGCTGCATTCAGTACCTTGAGTCGCTCCAACGGCATCAAAATTAATGATGTATTCAGCAGGCAATTCTTGAAAATTCATCCCAGTGCATTTTAGCAGTGGCAGCAAGCAGTTAGTTCCAATGCCTTGGTTGTTATCACTTGCAAGGTCAGATGAATGGCTGACAGGTACAAAACATTCTGATCTTTGGCTGTGTTAATGTTGATCATCTCTGAAATACCATCTCTCCAGTGCTGACTCTCAGCAGAGTCAGAAGGGGTCAGTACTAATGAAGATCAGAGCTGCATAACGGCAAGGGATTGTGCCACTGTTGTTCTCACTTTGTCCACAGAAGCTGGCAGATACTGAGCTGTGCAGTTCTAATGCTCCTTCTTGTTCATGGTCTTCAAATACAGTGCTCAAATGCTCGTCCTTGGTGGGTGGCTGTAATCTGAAAGCAGTGCAGTGGAGTGATGGAGGATGCTTCTCAATGTATGCTGTGATGTGTGCTGTGATGAGTATGCTGTGATGAATAATCCACTCCAGTTCAGTGTATTTTTTAATATATTCTGAGCTGAAGCATGTATTCATCGTGACACGAGGAAAAAACAACTTTCTGTTTATGAAACGTACTGCATCTGGCTGATTTCCCTTAAGCCTTTCTGGGTCGCTAAATGAGCGTATCCTCACTGCTTTTAATCACAGCTGTTCCTGACGGTGCTCAGAAGACAAACCTCTGATGGGATTTAAGAGGTTGACTCTGTAAGTTGTAATAATTGCTTCTTTTCAGCTTCCTGACTTTCTGGCCTAACGGGCTGCATTACCCACAGGCAGGTAGCCACATCCAGACCTTGATGGGGTCGCAAAGCCTGCAGCACCGCAGCCGTGAGCAGCAGTACGAGGGGAACATGAACAAGGTGACCATCCAGCAGTACCAGCCCCCGCTGCCCATCCAGATCCCCTCCTCGCAGAGCTCCCGAGCGCCGCAGACGGGGCGATGCCTCATCCAGACCAAGGGGCAGAGGAGTACGGACGCCTACCAGGAGCAGGTGGGAGCGTGTCTGCAGAAAGTAATGCTGTGAAAGATGCTCCTTTATCCCCCTCTTCCACACAGCCGTATGAGGGGGCCCGGGGCAGCACTGCCATGTGCCACGCAGGGCAGGGAGGTGGGCTGTGCTGCCCAGCACCAGGGAATGGCACTGATTTCCTTGGCTTGACCAGGGAATGCTGCCACTGAGGTTCCTGACATCAGTGGTCATGCTGAATTTGTCCGCAGTTCCTCCCAGTTCGCAGCATCCTGGCTCAGTGCTGACAGTGCATGCGTGGCAGATGCTGCACCTTCCCCTGGTGGGTGCTGTGAGCTTCCCTGGGTGCTCCTGTCCCGGATCTGTTTGGCCTTACCGATGTCAGTGACTGTTGGAGGCACCTGACTCGAGGAACAAGGCTCAGATCTAACACCAAAACTCTCTCCTGTGTGAAGTGCTGGCAGTCCATGCCAGCAGCTGCCTGGTTAAAGTCCCTGGGCCGAGCACTGAGATTCAGCAGCCATTCCTTGCGCCTTGATGAGTGGCCATTAAGCTGCACAGATGTCATTTTTATTTTACGCTAAATTAGCCAATGCCATTGAAATCCACCCTGACCGACAGATAAGGTTCAGCACTATTTCTTGGAAGAGAGCCCTTGTAAAACCATTGGTGCTCAGAGCTACTGGGGCTGATACTGGCAAGATGCTGAAGATCTCTGAGCTCCCCATTGCTTGCAGCTGTTTGTCACCTGCACAGCACCCAGGGGTGTGACAGCTGGAGCAATGGAAGTGCACAGCATGGACTGTAGGGGCAGATTCTGTTCTTACTGACATAATTACCCGAGGTTCCAGTGAGAGGGAAAGACTGGGCTGACACAAACTGCCTTTTCACAAGTGTCTTTTATTTTTCTCCTTGAAAATAAAAATTTAAACATATGCAAAAAGAGGCAGAGCTCTGTGAGTATCGTAGTATCACTGTAGCGTGTTGAAACCATGAAAATCTTTCATTTTAAAAACATTTGAATGGCTTTTACTGCATTGTGCAATACGGCTCTTGAGAGGGTGAACTCATCTTGTTGATGTGAGCTCCGCTGTACGAGAAGATGCCATTGTTTGGTCAGGCTTTGGTGCTGGCAGTCACTTACCTTGCTGTATCTTTTTAACCTAGTTTTGTGTGAGGATAGAGAAGAATCCTGGCCTTGGTTTTAGTATCAGTGGTGGAATAAGTGGACAAGGCAATCCATTCAAACCTTCCGATAAGGTAAGTCGTGCGTTTCTCACTAAATGGGCTTTATTTTAGAGTGCCTGTAGTGGAGACACAGATACAATGAATGTCATCTTTATGAACTTCTGTTACAATAAATGGAAGTTTTCCCACACGTGGCCTTGTTCTGCTATGGGAGAAATGTTTGCTTGGTTGGTTAATGAAGATGAGAGACTTAAAACAGAAGTCACATGGGTGTCTGGTTTATGGTTCACACAGATAAATTGTCAGACTGTGGTGCACAGCATCAACTCTCTCACTTTCTCCTTCTGAGAATCAGTATAGGCCCCAATTAATTTGTCACCTAGCATCATTAGAGTGACTGCTGAGGCAGGAGTAACCATCACCAGGTAACTGAAAGAGCAGTCTGTAGCAGGGGCATAACATAAAGCAGTCCTGGTCCACAAACTGCTCTGGACATGAGCCATAGCTTAGGAACACCACGGCAAGCAATCTCCTGGTTTGTAATGCTAATTAAAGGCTTGGCCACTGTGGTGCATCGTGGCCAAGGACAGCCAGTATTAGTTCTGGTTGTTCATGTTGGGTGACCATTGGTACTGCAATTCGGAACATTGTGTCCTCTTTTTCAGTTTGATGTATGAGGTCAGAATTAAGTTGCTTCCACTGTCTGTCACTTGTCTGAAATCCTTAAAGGAGAACCTGTGTCCCACTAGGAATGTACCTGCATGAGCTAGTTACACGTGCAGTGCAGCAACAGCTGTAGATAGAATGCTACTAATGAAAACAATTCACAATTGAGTGTAGAGGAGTGCTAGAATGGTTATATTGAAGGAAGGAACAGTTTAAAATGTTGGGGCTTTTTCAATTGCTTCCCAATGTTGTCCTCAGCAACTGCCTGCTGCCTGCAGACCTCTGAGGCACACGCACATGGCACTGCTCTGCCCCCGAGATGGGAGCAGCAGTGATGGCAGGGAGCAGTGCTCTGAGCAGCGGTGTGCCCCTGCCGTCACATACTGATGGGGCTGGGATGGGGGGAAGCAGCACAGAGCAGTCGTTCTGAATGGCAGATGTTTCAAACACGTGGGGGAGATGTAAGCACCATAGGTTCCATCCCTCCGCTCTGCAGGAGCTCAGGTTTCTGGAAGGGCAGCAGAAACACTGGGCAGAACCCTGCTCCAGAAGGCTGAGGAGTCCCCTGAGGGGGACACAGGATTTACATGACAGCAAGGAGCAGGGAATGTCCCTGGTGCCTCAGAGCAGTGTGCCTGGTGAAATGCAGCCTGTGCTCAGCTGTGGGCCGGTGTGAGGTGCTCCCTCAGTGCCGTGTGGGGCAGTGGGGAGGTGAGGCTGTGGGTGCAGAGGTCCAGGACCTCATGAGCTGTGTGGAAATATTGCACTCATCACTCAGGAGCTCCATCCCTAACCTGGGGGGCTTATTAACATGTCTTACAGAAATTCTAAACACAAATCTAAAAATATTCTTCATTATTTAATAGTTTATCCGCTTTCAAAGTAATACACTCTGCAGGCAATGGATCCAGAGAAGATTCTAGAGACCATTGCTCTGCTTTAATTAATTAACTCCTGCTAGTCCTGTTTCTCCTGTTTCCAGAAGCTCTTCCAATTGCATGTTATTTGTGAAGTGGAATCTTGCTTCAGATGCCCCTGAGTTTCGTGGTGCCAGGAGCTAACAAGCTGCAGCTCACGAGCGCTGCTACAAGCTGCTGCTTGGCTCCTTGCAGATTAAAACAGGGGTTTGGTGTTGAGAGCATTGCCAGAGAGCACAGATCCCCAGCCCAGCAGTTAGGGAAACACCTGTATTTTGGGAACTAGTTCTTGGTAATAGCATCCTAACCTCTGTTACTTCTGACTTATAGGGTATCTTTGTTACTAGGGTTCAGCCTGACGGACCAGCATCCAGCCTGCTCCAGCCTGGCGACAAGATCCTCCAGGTAGGGATTTACTGCTTTGTAACCTAGCTGAGATGTAAGGCATGCCTTTGCATCTCACACTAACGTTGTTTTCAGTACAATTCTTGGCACTTTAGTGTTGATTTCTAACAGTGTTACTCGCAGTAGTCTTGAAATCTGGTCTCAGAAGGAATAAAGCTGTTTGAAACCAAAAGTGTATGTGGAAAAGAGGCCACAGAGCAGCTGTGGCAGCAGTGGTCCCTCCGAACTCCTGGTTGCAGGAGATCACTGTGTGACTGCTGCTCGTTTTTGGCTTTTTGTCCCTTCTGTATTATCCCTTCCCCCGAAATGAAGCTATTACAGAGAATCTCATGTGATTTCCCTTCTTGTTTCTGCATTGCAGGCAAACGGACACAGTTTTGTACATATGGAACACGAGAAAGCTGTATTACTACTGAAGAGTTTCCAGAACACAGTAGACCTAGTTATTCAACGTGAGCTTACCGTCTAAATATTTTTTTATAAATAGTAAATATGTCTAGCCAGATCTAACGTTCAAACAGATTTATACATAGGAAACCAATTTTTGCCAATTGCTGGACCAATGGCAAACAGTAGTGCCAAATGTATAATACTCTATGTCAGTACCAATCATCTCGACAGAAATACACGACCGACAGATCTCTGGTTCATGTGGCTACGTATCAGTTCTACCCGTCAGCCTCCGGCTGTGCATTGGTGCGTTTTTTTAATCGAGTTTCTTCTTAAGGTCAATTTCATATGATTTCAAAACACAGAAGCACATACCAGTTCGTTAGGAATTCTGCTGTCCATCAGAAACACTGCCTCAAAGTTGTATATGCCTTTATAAAGATGAAATATATTAACCTGTACTTCCCATGAGATATTTCTATCATGTCACATACGAAAATATAGAGAAAAGATATTTTCATAAACACCTCAAAGAAAGTATATATTAAATTAAATTTAATAACGTTCATTTATTTTCAATGCAAAGATATTATATGCCTTATGAAAATACCTGTACATATGCAGTGTGTATAGCCTGCTCCGTACTAACGAGTGAAACTGTCGCTGCACAGGGTGAGCTCTGCACAGCCCGCGTAGTGCCGCCAACGGCAGGAGGTGGGCGCCCGTCCTCCTGGTGGGCGCTTTCAGTTGCTGCATGTGAACGCACCACGAGGACGAGCAGTGAGTGCAGGCAGCTCCGCTTCCTAGCGGGAGGAGTTTGCGATGGGCGGCAGTCAAACTTCTTTTGTTGCTGCTAACTTCATTATTCTATCTTTTCCATTTGAAGTGACGGCCCCTCACCTGTGTTGCCCATTTCCCCTGTGTTGCGGTGTTCTGTCTTTTTGCTCTGGCCCGGGCTCGCTGTGTCCATGACCAGTATGGCTTCAGCCTTTACAGAACCCTTTATTTGAACGATAGTCTCTCAAACGAATGGGGATTGACTCAGCATACCTGAGAAATCGTGGAAGAGTGGCGCTGACAGAGCATGGGGAGCTTTCCCACCGAAGTACCGAATCTGAAAACCCTTAAGGTAAAAATCCTCGCGCTGTTTTCAACAGAGACAGCACCAAATTCTGCCAAACTGCTGCTGCCTCAGTAATTCAGGGGTACGCCGTGCTGACAGCAAGGAGGTGAAACACAAGGAACGCTCCCACGAGGTGCTGCCACTTGTGCTGCTGCCCACAGTCTGGTGCTGGGCTGCAGGCAGAGCCAGGAGCTGCTCACAGGGTGCTGCCCACAGGCATCTCCTGACTGCTAACCCTCAAACCTTCCGTCTCTTCCCCTCAAGCACACGCTGACTGAAGTGATTAAGACTTTCAGTTAAACTGACACGATGTCAAGAGGTAGTGGTGCCCCTTCTGTGTGCTCTGTGCATGGGCCAGGTGCCTGCCACAGAGAAGCACCCCACAAATAGGTAAGAGTAGGAACGGCCCCCTGGGTGTCACGAAGCACCAGGCCTTTAATTGTTTGCACTCTTCCTTATCATTTTAGGCTGCTGGGAAGCACTGGAGGGGCTTGGGAGTGTGAGGCTTTTATGTCGGCATGTAAATTCTATATTCCATGGTTGTTTGCATCTTTCCTTTTCTCTTCAAACAACAAGAGTTATTGAGTTTATTAGTACAAATAATAACGAACCATAATTTCCTAACTGACATAATACTAACTTTTCCTTTACCCGTGCAAGTGCTCTTAGTGGAAGAGCTCCTGTGACCCCTGGGTGGCACCACGCTCCCAGATCCGCTTGATATTACAAGCTGAAGCTGATCCAGGCTGGGGTTGTTTCCCTCTTTTCAGTTTTCCATTTCTGCCACACAGCTGTAATTTCAAAACAAAAACCACACAGGCTCTGCAGAACCCATTTGAAGCTCCCCCCTGAGTTGGCACATCAGAGGCCAACGTCCCCACTTTAAGTCCTTTGCCCTTCAAGAGAAAATATCAAGTTTTACTCATCATCATGTTCAGAAAATTGTACCTTTGTAGTCTGTAGCTACGCTGAATGGAAATCAGGTATGTTAATAGGTACTTATGCACCTAAGGCCTCTTTGGAGCTACTTTTTTCACGCAGAAAAATCACTGTCATGGATGTGGGCACACAGTGTGCAGAGCACACGTGTACAGCCGCAGCTGTGCAGCCCACAGGCATCTTATGGCAGCCCCATGCTCAGAGCTTCCCTGTCATTTCTGCTTCCAGTAGGTAAGTGGAGTGCATTACTTCTGCAATTCTGCATCCTACTGTAACACTGTGCAGCGCGGGCGTGCAGAACGCACAGCACACATCCCTCCTTCCCTCAGCACTTCAGCACACAGCAGCTGCAATGCACAGAGTGCTTTGATAGCATCCAAATGTAGCAGGGAGTTGCAGAGCTAAGGAGGCCCATTGCCAAGGCAGTGGAGACAGGTGAGGATGGCTGAACTCTGACTTCAGAGTTGCGTGGCTGCGTGCTTGTTAATGCTACGTTGTTTGCTTTGGTGGGTTTCTGCACGCTGAGTTTATGAGACTAAAGCACAGTGGCAGCATAAATCGAGGCTGTGTGCACAACTGTATGTCAAGATTGCTGAGAGCTTTCATCAGTGGATTGTAATGAAAAGGAAATTACAATAAAATTGAAGAAAAACCTCAGCCACAACTCCCCGACTCCAGGAGGGATCTGGGACGAGTTTGGCCTCCCAGCTGAAACGTGCAATAGGTAAGCTGTAATAGCAGCCACCACTGTCCAAATGCCCCCAGCAGTTTCTTCTTAGCATTGTTTTTATTCAAAGTGATAGAAGTGGTGTTTAGATAGGAGCAACTCGTCTTCAGTGGGACTGCTCAGGGTTTCCACATTAATCCACTCAAACAACCTGCAGCTTTTTCTTTCCCAGAACCTCACGTTGCACCATTGTGCACGGCCAGGTTTGCAAGCAGGGTACCCAGCTACATGCAGGCTTTGCACATGAAAAGCCCATAAGTATAAATACAGCTCTACAGCAAGTCTGGTGGGTAGAGGACAGCTTGCCCAGAGGTGAGCTCCATGTGTGGGTTCACTTGCGTGTGTGTGAGAGAATTCTGACAAGGCAAGTGCAGGCTCAGAGCTGCAGATGGTTTCCTTTCTTTGGGCTGCACAGCACTCCTGGGCACACCATATGTTCTCCCTTGTCAACAATACAGGCACTCAATGCCCTGTTTTTTAAGCTCCTAGTGGAAGCATTAATCTCAGTGGAACTGTGCTGGGTTCTTTTTTACATTTTTCTTGCAATAAACAACAAATGATCCTCAGGGAAGGGCTGGATTACGGAAGGAAATCTGCACTGGGGTTCTCTTACCCTCATTTTGCAGCTAGTCTTAAGGAACTCATGGTCAGTACTGGGGCTGATGGCCCTGTGCTGCCGGTGGCTCCTGATAGGGCCAGATGTGTCCAAATCCCAGGGCCCAGCTGTTCTGCAGCCCTGTTGCCAGTTGGCTATTAAGACAAAAACAAAAAAAAAAGGAAAAATTAAAGAAAAGAAAGCTGCTCACAAAATGCTTTTCTTATTTTGAGAAACATTTCTAAGAAAAGATCACAGGAAGCCCGTGGGGCCTTCTGGTCCTAACAATTTGGTCACTGAGCGTTGTGTTGATCAGCTTTGATATTTACAAGCCAGTTGTTCTAAATAGCAGAATTCAGATCTGTTGTGATGCTTTGCAGAGCTAAGAGCAGGGTGAGAGCAGAGCCCTCAGGCTGCATGCCAGGCATCCATGGGGCCACAGACACGTTTCCAGGCATTTATTCATTGGGAACGTTCTGCCTGAAAGGCTACTGATGCTGATACAAGGGGCCTTTTTCTGAACATGAATGAAAAGACCTTTGAAACATAGCTCTAACAGCCATATATTTTTAGCTGATAGATGAATAGCTAGAAGTTAAATCACCAGTGCTGTAGAACACCACTGATTTCCATGACCTGGAGGTTCAATTAAAAATTACAGGACAAAGTGTTCACGAAATTGGTTTGCTGTTGTTAGTAAGCACTTTGAATGTAAAGACTCTCCCATGGTGAATCCTCTCTTGCTTGTAATATAGCATTTGATTACCTTATGCAATGGGAAGTCTGCATATTTATAAATATGTGTATATATGTATATATCTGATAGAGATATATGCAACAGGAAATGCAAAGACAACCCTAAATGACAAACCTTTGGACCTGTTCACATGCAGGGTCTGGTCTCCAGCAAGGACGCAGGCACTGGTGCTGGGCCCAGGGTGGCACAGGGGCTGTTCCTGAGGAGCCAGCCAGCAGCAGGCCATGGGCTGGAGGCTGTGCACTGCCTTGGGTGGGAGTTCAGCACACGGGGATCCGGGTTCCCTTGTCCTACACAGCCAGGCAAGCCACATCAAACAGAAATAGAATAGAACACTAAGACCAATTTGCCCAAATCATAAACACAGGAGGTCATAACACTCAGCGGGGTCACTACCTACCTTACCAGATTTTGCATTTAGAATTCCAATGAAGAACAAACCCTTAGCTACAGCCTGAGCCCCTTACCCACGAGCTGTGGTACCATGCTCTCCATCCTGCCTCAGCCTCCCAGCTCTTCTGCCTTCAGAATTTTCATTTAATTAGTGCACAAAGATTTACAATGTTATTTTCGGCTAATCAGATTTAAGGACTTATTTCATTTGTTAGTCTTGCTAGTATGAGTGGAATACAAAGTAACGATACAACTTTCAGGCCAGTAGTTTGGATAGGATATGAATTAACTGGTGGTTTGATTTTGTTTTGAACAAGTTTGGTTTGGGTATGCTGGAGCAGTAGCTCTGGCCACGTGTGCAGTGCAGCACAGCAGTGACAGCAGAGGCCAGGCAAGGAGATCCGTGCTCCTCGGGGGGGGAGGAGCTGGGGGCAGCCAATGTGAATCTTCTCTGTAAAAGCCAATTTCTACAGACACCATTTGTTTCTCCTAGAACTTCAGTAGTTTCTCTTAGGGAAAAAAAAAAGCCCTTGCAAATCCTCCTAGGGGACAATTCACACAAATGTGCTACAAGTGAATGACATCACTGCATTGCAGCCAGAATTTACACGGCCCTTGTAAGGCTTCTCCTACAGCAGCACCAACCGAGCCACAGCCCTGCAGCACAAGAGGCTTCATCTTTGTCAATTGGGGCCTTCTTTGTCTCTTTGCTAGCATATGTGGCTTCACCCTGAAACCCTGCTCAGAACAAACACTTATCGGTTAAGTTTTCTACTTGTGAGTACTGTATCCAGTTCAAAACCAACAGCTTACTTTATTAAAAATTTTACCATTTTATAAGAGACATGTTTAATTATGATGGAGATGGCTGTATTGTAATTAATATTTTGAGATAATTGTGATTTTGAGCTTAAATTATATACAGAAAATGGTCATTTTTGTATGTGTTAAAAGATTGCTATATTACAAATGACTAACTGTAC